TGGTCATCTTGACGTAATTGGTGACGCGTATATGACGTGAAATTGACGTGTGAATGCTAGCTGGGCTGTTTAAATTAATTTTACAAAATAAGTAATAAATTTACATAAAGGTAGCTACTAATGATATGTATAAACCAAAAAAGACAATATTTCATCTGATTTATAACATAAATAATTAATAAATAAAATAATAGATACCGCGAATGGTTAAAAATTGAAATTTCGGCAATTTTTCAATGCCACATTTGAAAATCATTCGCGCCCATATGGTACAAAATGGGATCGTCCATCTGACATCAGGAGTTTGCCAGGACTTCCAGCTAACTGTTCCACGAATTTAGTGCTCTTATTTTGAACGGTTTGTGACATGCAAATGTTTTTCGTCGACCTCTAAAAAAAATCACTTTTCTCGTTCTAATTTCCGAACAAAAAACCGACTATTCCCGAAAGCAAGTAGTTTTCGTCCGCAGGAACTAACTTTTCGTCCGCTGCAGGTTTGTCAGTTCTACTGAGTTTTCAGTAGATCTCTTGATTTGCATATTGGTCTACTGATCTACTGAAACATTTCATAACCCACTGAACAATATTTTGACACACATTTACCTATATTATTATTGATCTTCAGTTGATCACATACACTTATAAATTGCATGATATTTAGGCACGCTCTGTTTAAATTAATTTTACAAAATAAGTAATAAATTTACCTAAAGGTACCTACTCATGATATGTACAAACCAAAAAAAGACAATATTTTATCTGATTTAGATCCAATTCAACTTTTTATAAAGGTACCTCCGTTATAACAGTTATTTATTTCTTATGTATAATTTTTTCATCCGTTTTGTATTGTTGTTATTCTTTTTTACTATTCGTTCCTGTTTTTAATATACTCAAATCTTATAAGTACCTATTTAACTGTATTTTGTGATATTTGTGAGTAATTTTAAATTGAGTATTAGGAATGATGATTATTTTTTAAAGAGAATGTTTGTTTTCTTTGTTTCTATTTTGTTGGAAATAGGTTATTTTTCTGTTTACTAAAAGTATAGTTTATACGAAGCCAGTTGAAAAAGCCAAAAAAAATTTTAACCGGCTGCATGTCGGAAAATCCTTGACAAGCCGCATCTCACAGCGGCGGGTGAAATATTTTTTTCGTTACCACAAATTAAAGCTGTTTTTAAATGAATTTTTGATTGTTCCAAAATTACCTATATATCCATTTTGGAACATGGGAGTATCAAATATTAGTAAGTTTCCAGACCACCCATGAGGCACCCATGGCTGGTAACTTGTTTTTAGTGGGTGTTCGCCAATAGCCCTATCATCCCACATTTGAAATATTGATATAAAATTAAACTGAATCAAAATTCTATCAAATATTAGTAAGTTTCCAGACCACCCATGAGGCACCCATGGCTGGTTACTTGTTTTTAGTGGGTTTTCGCCAATAGCCCTATCGTCCCACATTTGAAATATGAATATAAAATTAAACTAAATCAAAGTTCTCAACAAAATAAAATATGAATATAACATTAAACTCAATTAAACTCAACAAGATTAAATGAAAATAAAACATTGAACTTGATAAAAATTATCAGTTGTATAAGGAACTTCAAGATATGTATGTAACAATATGAATAAGATAAGTACTATGGAAATGCCAATAATTCTGAATTCCTGATTGGTAGAGTTACTCTATGTAAGATACACGTATATTCGAGATTATACAAGGTAACTTACTCAATTGAACATTGTTCTGATTGGTTTAAAATCATACGAAGAAAATAATCAACAAAATAAAATATGAATAACATTGAACCTAATGAAAATTCTCAGCAAATAAATGGTATATTCTGAAAGTTTTTTTTGTGATATCAGAAATAGGTACAATTCCACAGTTTCAATTTACATGTCACATCACTTTCCTACACTTTACACAATTTCACTACACATGTCACATCACTTTCCAAAACTTCACAGTTTGGTTTTGATAATCACAATATGATTCACAACACACCACATTAGTTTTCGTAACTGTTATACACAAATACTGGATGATATATCACTAGTCACTATCGGACTCTTCATGACTTGAATCTTCATTTACCCTAATGATCACTGGATACTGTCCCGATGGTCGTTGTAACTGACTCGCTAAATCGCGGTGATTGGTTATTTTTTCTCAAATAATTCTGCTGTGATATCCTCGTGATAATCGGCAGAGGATTGCTTGATATTTTTGACAGACAACAACAATGCATTGTCAACAAATCCATTTTCATTGCCGGCGTGAAGGATTATAATTCTTTTGCCTCTCGAACTCGGACCACTCACATTACAGTTTTTGCTATCATCTACCCAACCGTATTGAACAACGTCATGAGTGTTGAACCACGTTTCATAATATGGATTATAGGTCTATTCGTTTCACGGTATCGGTATTCCTTTATTTTACGTAGATATTCTTGCCGATGGTCTACGATGGGTCTTGATTCCATAATCACCATCTTTTTGTCTAATTTCTTATGACTGAACCCGCAATCTAGTAAAACATTTTGCAACGTACTTAACGATTTGTAATTATAATCCACGTATTCATTCAACTTATCCCTGATATCTGGCAATGGTGGTACCTCTATATACAATTCGACGAATTACTTCTTTCGAAGCATCATCAAGCTTCTTGACTTTTCGTCCCACTCTTTTTCGTTTAACTCCATTATCTACAACACCTCCGGTTCTAATAACTCTGTATATGGTGGGTATAGCTTATTTTGGTTAATTCATGTATTCTCTTCACAAGTTGGTTTTCTGAAGAATCATTATTCTCGTCCTTGAGACGCGAATAGATATTCAAAATTACCCTTTGCGTTTGAACGTGTAAGTCTGTATTGGCGAACTCAGCTTGCTCTTCCTCCGAATCACTATCACTCACTTCGTTGACTTCCTGAAAAGGCCTCCAGAACACAAAACCACTATGATTGAAATAATAATTTTCTGATTTTCGAGTTGAACCAATGAAGGCAACCTAGCTCGTACCGCACTGCCTAGAAGATTCTCATCACACAGAAGACCGCCCATGCAACTCTGACCAATCAACATCCAGTATAGTTTGGAGTAACTAATGAGACGCGATTTCTAGCATGACAGCGCTCGTCCAGTCCACGTTGACTGCACAGGCTGCATACCGGGAAAGCTCAGTAGAAAATATCTCATTCATTCCTATTCCAATATTAAGCAAATCGACAAATCCTCGTATCGTCCTTAAAAACGAAAGTTTTTCAATTGACTTCGCATAAACTATACATAATGTTTTGACGTCATGGGTTTATTTCATTATCCTTACTTGGAATGCTTATAGCATAAAATAGATCTGAATTTTTGACTAGGTATTTACTGATGAAATAAAAATCGAACTGGAAACCCTGATCCGCGCGTAGAGTGAGTCTACAACAACTGTCATTTGCTGTTGTCAAATTAATTATTCACGAAATCCGATAGATTTCACGTATGAATAAGACCGCGATGTGGGTATAAGTGTTTGAGGTCGACGAAAAAATGTAATATGCACCTCGGCGAAAAACTGTCTATTGTCTCGCCTGATTGCTAGCCTCGGCTATCAATTCACAGACTCGACTATAATAGACAGTTTTTCGTCCTTGGTACATAAATAACTATTTCGTGAAATCCTACCACGGTTATTATTTTCAGTAAAATCGATATATCTGTGATAGATAAGTTGACAAAAATTAGGCTGACCAAACACAGAATTAGAAAGCCAATTGAAATGTTTCAAAAAAAAGTATTAACTATTATTAAAATTAGAAAGTTGGTGCCGACTGTTGGTACATCCTGTATACCTGGAGACGAGCCTGGAGAGCTAAAAATATTTCAGGTCGATTAGTGTTGATCAATTATATCAGCATACCAATTTTCAAGTTTTTAATCTGCAAGTTGAAAACTTTTAATGTGTGGCTTACGAAATCATCCTGTATAGTGACCAATTTAATTGAAATCGAAATATTAGGTAAATATCTAACAACTACCTAACAACTATCTGATACGGATACTTAGGAAGTTTGTTTTAAATTTATTACCTACATCATTTTTAAAGATGTAGGTGATGTCTACGTAACAAAGGAAATTCATAACTGTCAACAGAGATTAGTTTATCGTTTATAAATTGATCCGAAGATCAATAAATTATATCGTAGTTAAAAATTTGATTTCGAAACGATAACAGGAACGCTTTAATCCCTATGTATGGTATAACGTTATAATTCGAAGATGTATAGGTAGCTGTTGGGGATAATAAGATAATACTCCAAAATTCTGGCCAGATGCTAGTAGCAGTTGATACATATATTATTAGTTCATTGAAAAATCCTGTTATTTACTGGTACTTTTGTTGGATATACAAGTTTAATGATAGTACAAACCTCATTTTCAAAGATCTCCAAAGATGTAAAATGTATTGGATACTTGTTGATTAAGTGGACTGACCAAATAATTGACTTTGCTACATATCAAAACTGAATGACAGTTGCATCTACTTGAAGAAGGGTGCACTTGTTATAGTTATTTTCGTAATCCCATACTGTTATTTTGATTTAACGGTATTCAGAAGACAATTGCAAAGTTAATGTTAACAGCCTCCGTCCGTTAAGATTGTTTAACGGTCGGCGGCCGTTAACTGTTCCGTTACAACACGATGTTGGGATTTTTCTGTAAAATTCCGAGGTACGTGGTTTGTTCATTCTTCGGAATCAAAATGTAATCTTTCAGTGGGATTACGAAAAGTCTTGAAAGACACACGGTCGATACGCAAATACGGATTCGGTTGTTATAATGCTCGGCTGCGCTTCGGATTTCAATAAGAGACTGAATATTGTAATCCGAGGCACATAATAGTATGGGATTACGAAAAGTGCATGTTCGAACAATTGAGTTTGGAGTGCATATGAATTACTAGTAGTTTTCCTAATGCACTTTTCCAGGATAGAAGATAACAGGTTGATAAGGATCCAAATATAGAAGAATAAAAAGGAACATCATGGGAAAATCAGAAGTTCAGTCATTACCAATCCATCGTCCAGAAACAAAACTCATATGTGTTCCTGCCAATTGCAAGACTATTGATGTCACACATTTCATAGATGCTTTTGGGAAGTGCTCTGTTGTAGATGAGTTAACACCTCCAGATACTCCTGAAGAACGTGATGTAGAGGAGACCATGGATATTCCAAAAGGCTTCGAGATATTCTCCCACCAAGTTGCTGGCCATAAGGATGGGAAAAAATATATTGGTATGATTTGATTAATCTTTTACAAACCATTTCTAGCTTTACAATAATTGGGTAGTGACCTTATTTCTAAATTTTCATTCTTAATCTCCACAATCATCATCATTTTTAAAAAGTGTCCTGAATAGTTTTAAGGTCTATATGACAAATGAAGTCACAGGCTCATTCAAATGGTCAAAATTTGCTGCTCATATACTCCCAAAGTTGCTGAGACACAGAGCTACCATGTTTAGCAGAGGTCAAAATAAATTGATTGGACACAATTCATTTATATATCAAAATGTACCGTTTGTCTGGGAGAAGAGTCAATGATCACATTTTATTCTAGCTTAATTTGAAACTCATGGAATACTTCAGAGTTCAGAGGAAATCGAATATGATCAGCAATTAATTACCAATCACCTATAATAACCTACTACATAATAATTTTGAATCATGTCATTTCTTGCACCATCTTGCACATACAGGATCAATTCAAAGATTTTATAGAAACCTGGCAACAGCGGCGTGCTCCTCAGCCGTCACAACTCCAACCAATCAAATTGCAAGAAGACACTGACATCACAGCTCAGTAGCTTTTGAATTCATAGGTATTGAAATTTCATTTTCAATATCAAATAATTCATTTGTTGTTCAGTATTTTCGATAAATATGTAGTGGAGATAAGGTTTTTGATTTCCCTTCATTAAATTATAGCTAAAAGGGGTCAAAGGGGTCAAATTTTATACTGATGGGGCCCATTGAGAAGAGAAAGATATATTTTAACTAATCATAGCTTTTTGCCAGTTGAGAACTATCCTTCCTAGGTGGTATCTCAAACGACAGTGTCCTGTGAGCAGTCTTGTTAAAATTGTTATATACCTGCTCCATACTAGGATCTGCTTGGCTATACCAGGAACTAGTTCGAATGTGTCAGTCCTGATAATTCAGACCAATATGAAATACAACAAAATAATTCTGTAGTCTGTTGTTAACACTAAGGCACTTTAGGAATTCAATACAGTTCCATTCGAGCTGCTGTGCCCATCTATAAAAAAGAGAATGTAACTGTGGTAACAAGCTATAGGCCTATATCCCTTCTACCTTTCTCAAAAATTATAGAAAAGATTATGGCATTGAGAATGGTTCAGTTCGTTGAATCTTATGGAATCTTTTCAGACCGTCAGTTTGGGTTCAGGTAAAACCGTAGCACAACCTCGGCCATTCTAGACTTTGTTTCTAGCATTCGAGAAACCTTTGAAAATCGGGAGTTTGTAGCAACCACGTTTTGTGATCTCAGCAAAGCATTTGACTGTGTCTCCCATTCTTTACTCTTAGAGAAACGATATAATTTCCATCGAAATAGCAATACTATCCTGAAATCATATCTCTCGAATTGGTTTTAGGTAGTGAAAATGAAGGAGTAGAATTTAGCAAAAGCGTTATAACTATAGGTGTCCCCCAAGGATCAGTTTTGGGACCACTCCTGTTTCTAACATACAGCAATGACCTCCCCTGTATAGATTCACCTGCAAGATTCACCGTCTTTGCAGATGACACCACAATTGAAGGGGCTTGTGGAAGAAGGAGTTATGCTACAAATACGAGTTTGTGAGAAAAAAAGGTTCTAGTGAAGTTAGCTGGCATTTTTTAATGGAAGCTAGTTCAATAATTGGATTAATGCAATTGTGAGGAGTAGTTTCGGGTTGATTTTTTATGATTGACAGCATTTTGCTTCCATTTCCTGACATGTAGGCAATGGGCACATATAGCTCCTTCTTCCATTGCGTCCGTGATGTTTAATGTAACATAGCCCCTTCTACCACTGTGTACCTGCTCAGATATTAAGAATAGAAACAAATCGCGACGGGACGAGTTACATATGCACGTAACACCCTCTTCCATGACATAACCGAAAATGTCAGAAAATGTTACTTGACCCCTTCTTCCACTTGCCCCTTCAAAAATTGTTCCAAATTGTTTTATCCGTCATTCGGTTGCTCCCTTACGAGCAACCCTCAGAAGTCTTCCGCCTATGTAGAATGAACATTCGCATTTCACAGTTGAAAATAAATCATTTCTTTTGTATGAGAAGTGTGGCACTTTACCACACTTTGTGTGTGATTAACACTGTATTTCTATTTGAGTATTTATTTGGAAAGTACATTCCAAGTAAGTATAGTTTATCTCTACCAGGTCTGGAGCAAGTGTGAAATGCCCTGAAAAATGAATAATGGTCGTGTTTCACATGAATATTGCTGGTGTAGCCACAGTGTAGCTGCACGAGAAATCATCTGATTTCTAGAGTAGTGCATATCGCAGGATACCATAATCAGACGACTTCTCTATAATGATAACTTATTTCTCTTGGTTCTCACGATGATCTCTGAACATTACAGGATATCCCCTTTCGTGGGAACCAGAACATAAAAAGAGTTAGATTCTCCAAGTGAAGGACAACACAAATGAAAAAATTTCAAACGTCCCTACGATTTTTGTAACAGTCATCTATGTATTTTCACTAGGTATGCTGAAACAAGATGGAACAATCTTCAAACCTATAATCAAAAAAGAATGTGGAGAGAGGGAGCTTGATGTTTACAACAAGTTACAAACTTCAATGGACAGAACTTTGATACAAATGAAAAACTTGGTGCCAAAATATTTTGGAATGAGGAGAGTTCTTATGAATGGAACCGAATATGAATGCTTAGTTTTAGAAGACCTGATAAAAGACTTTAAAGAACCTTGCATTATGGACGTCAAAATTGGAAAGCGAACTTGGGATCCAGAAGCTACTTATGAGAAAATTCTTTCAGAAGAGGTAATTTTTGTCAGGACTATGCTATAAAATGTTTGACATTCATTTTCCACTCATTTATAAAATATAGAAGCTTCTCACTTCATTTCTGTACCACCATCATTGGTCTAAATGTTTCTCTAAATCAAACCTTATAGCTTCGTAGTTCATAGGATATATGCACGTGGAGTACTTTTTTTTCTAATTGAATTGAAAAGGGAATAGATTACGATTTGGTAAACTGGTAAAGGATAGAAATTTAAGAATAAATCAATGCACTTTCTGTAAATATAGTTACAAACATCTTATTGGATCTGTAAACAAAAATTATACACTGTTTCTATATCTGATGGTTTTGGGACCAAACTTGCCTAAATGGTCATCAATAAATTGAAAGTGAAAGTAGGTACTCAATTTGAATTCACTTTGATTCTGTTTATTTTTCTAGAAAAAGTACCATGAGTGTAAGAAAGACTTAGGATTTTGTATACCTGGTTTTCAAGTCTACCAAATCAATACCAATCAGTTAGTGAAATATGGAAAAGAATATGGAAACACTCTAACTAAGGATCGTGTTGTAGATGGTATGTACAAATATTGAAAGTAATATGATGTACTAAGTTGACAACACAGAAAATCATGATACTGCTTAGTAAATAATGACATCTCTCTGTACCTCTTCTATACCTTGGATTATTACTATTTTGTGAGCTACTGTACTGAAGTAAACAAAATGAGATTGAGTATAATCTAACTTTATCCAATTAATGTCTCGTATTCTTCCTGTAATAACATTATTGTGGTGTATCAGTATTGTATTGTAATGTGATGTCACTTTATCAATTCATATAAACGATTTTCAATTATTCATCTGGAAGCTTCATGAAAAAATATATCCCCAGTAATTGGTCACTCTGCTATCTACAGATTGCTTGTTATTTGCACTCATTTACCTGGAGTTAACATAAGAAGGCACTTTGCTGTTGATCTTGAAGAAGGAATTGCCAAGAACCTCTTATATATTCAATTGAATATTGATAGTTCTGTTTTCATAACATTTCCACAGAAAAAATTGAGAGTGAGAATGAAGCACTGCACACAAAAAAGTCTAATGAACAGCTCAAAAATTATCTGTTTGAAATTTACCCTCCCCAACAGAACTCAAAAGAAAATGAAGATTTCTAGTGAAGGTGGTTATTTCTGGTAGCATCTTGAATTATCTGGATAATATCCCAAAACATACCATATAGTAGTCAGGTAGAGTAAGATATTCTTCATTTTGTTTTCAGCTCTACCTGGCTCTACTGCGAATGACAATCATTGGCAACTCAGTTGCTGAAATACGTATTCATACTTTTCTAAATATTATTGTGGTATTTTGGGTATATTTTTCTATTTGTTCAGTGAAAACAAGTGTTTTCGCATAGGATATTTTTTTATTTTTACAGAAGATCTTGCTAATCTGTATATTTCCATGACAAAAATGAAGGGCATTTAAAGAAATTGAATAAATGATTCAACAGAATAGGGGCTCCAGAGTCTTCATTTGACAGGATAATCAATGACGACATATTATTCTGATTTCTGATAACCTAAACAATAATGATGACTTGAAGGACCAGTTATTAGGTACTTACAAAGTCGTCTTATCATTGATCAATAAGAACGCATATTTTTTTACCGTTATCTTGAAGTATCTATAAGAGCTGATTCATTGATATGAAAATCGTTGAACAAACGATTAATTGAAAGAGCTAGTAGTCGTTAAACTGTTGTATAAATCATGACAGAGAAGTCCTTTATTTCAATGTTTCATATTGTACATTGTATAAGTACCCAAAATACCAGAAATGATCGATAAAATCAAACTAGACTCTGCCAAAGTTATTTATAGCATCAACAATAACAGGAATTGTATTTCAAAATTGTGAATTATGAATAATTTCAACACCATAGATAAATCACATGAAAAAATTTTGGGGAAAGAAATTACATTTTCCATGCTTACTTTAATGGTTCAACAAAATTCCTGATCAACACATATACAGGGTGTCCCATGTCATGGATCAAAAGAAGTAGGGTGGTGGGAGGGGTCATTTCCAATCAAACCAACAGTAATGTGGTTATCCAATTGTTGATGTTTCAAATGTTATTAATTTTTTTTCATTTCTCCCTATGAATGCACCTTTCCCAAGAAATAATTTTTATGACCTGTGTTACTTTCCTATCAATTAAGAAAAATGTGTTTCAAGTTTCTGTGAATGAAATGATTCAGTTAATTTTTTAATGCCGCTGGCAGATTTAAAAACTACCTCCCAAACATGACAAACTATCAGAAAAAGTTGCCCCCGTTTATTTAAAACAGCCTTTCTGTTATTAATTTTGTTTAAATGCTTACGTAGTACTTTCCAAATATCACAAGTGCTAACAATTTTTACCATCTGTTCTACTACATAATCAGAATTGTCAGATAAAATTTCTCTCCATTCTCAGAATCACATTCGTTTATTCAGATATTTTTTGCTGCCGCCCTGTAGAAAATTTGGTGATTTTTGTTGACATACGTTACTTTGATTGGAACTGACCCCTCCTCCTACCGCCCCACTTCGTTTGATCCATGACTTATGGGACACCCTGTGTATATTTGAAAATAATCATCTTTCAAAAACTCTTCTCGATGATGTGATATACTGATAAGAACAAATAGTGTTACATTTCTAAACAACCAATGAAAATATATCCACATTCCACATAGAAATAAGATTGTACTTCAACAGTTGAAGTGTACTGAGATACATCCCATACATAAGTTCAATAATTATTGAAATAAATCAAAAGTAAAAAAAAAATTCAATAGAAAGATTTTATTTGATAGCTCTAAAAAGAATAAAATAAAATGTTCCTTTATAAATTCAACTATCAACTTATAACCTCATTATACACAATTTATATGATCATAAAAGCTTGTCGCACGATTTACTTGTGTGAATAAACACTAGTACTAATTTGATTTTGTGAAATCTTTTGAGTTTAAATTCTAAAAATTTCAGTATAATTATATATTGATCATCGCGACAAGCTTTTATGATCATATAAATTGTGTATAATGAGGTTATAAGTTGATAGTTGAAATTATAAAGGAACATTTTATTTTATTCTTTTTAGAGCGTTTACTTTTAATTTATTTTTCAGTTATCGCTGGCTAGGTTTCTCAGTCTGTTCATTTCATTCAACGTATCATTTTTGCAAGGTCGTTTGACGGTTAATTTCGAACAATCCAGCTCTTCAATAAGAAGAGCTTCTAATGATTTTACCCTACCTAAAGCCACGTATGCTTGACCAGCAGCAAAGAGTTTCGAGCCTAAGTAAATAACGGCGTAGTCGACAGTACTACCTTGCATTTTTTGTACTGTACAAGCCCAATATAATACAATTGGCAGGATTCTTCGTTCCGCGGTTCCGTGAATGTATTTTGCTGGAAATTGCACAGACTTGGGCTGAATTAGGTGAATACCGTCTTTACCGAAGTCTATTCGGACGGATGGTTTATCATTCACTTGGTACCCATATTGTAAAAGTAGACTTTAATCTTCAGCTGACTCTAGGTCAATGAATCTCATCTAAAAAAAGCTATTCCGGTCAATCATATTTACAGGTATTTTGTTTCTTAGTCATCCGGACCTTCCTTAACGCGGAAAATGGCAAAGTTTGTCGGAGCCTGATAGTACAGTTCTTGGCCGCGCTATGGCAAATCCAATACTGGGTCAGAAACCAACGACAGATGAGACTGTACTCATCCTCAGTACTTCTCGTATATGACGCTAGACGACTTCGAGAAAAATCGAAACTCATCAAGCCACCAGCCCCACTGAAGCTATCCAGGAAAGGTAGTCTCTACAGACCGATGAGCATGGCTGCCTTGAACAACGAAAGGATTCCGACTGGATTCAGCGGACAGCTGACCAAGGATGGGCCTATCTTGCGCACGCCCAGAATGCCTAACAAGGTCATGAATCTGGAGGTGCCTAGCTGCGTCAGCAACAACACGTGGCATAAGTCGATCCACACTCTGAAAAGAACCCACTCTTTCCAGAACAATTACGACAAGGACGTGCAATGCAGGAAGCAAGACTATACTTATCTTTTGGATGAGTTATGTACTGAGGAGAAATCGGAGTGCTGGGCAACGGCCAAAATGATTGATTTTGCCCATGTGTATCCTGCTGAAAACTGTGATATAGATAAAAATTATTTGGATGGAATTGAAAATTTAGTTAATTTATTTGAGGAATTTCTATTTGAGAGTGACTAATATTTTTTTATGCTTGTCAAGGCTATTTTCATCACATAACATCACAATATTTATTCTTGTCTACAACTTGAGTTTTTATTGACATTAAATGATGTAATATTTCAAGTAATAAAATCTTTTTGAACTCAATGCTTTATTTTACTGATGGAATGAGTTTATGAAGATATTGGCATATACAGGGTGTCCGCTAAAAGGAGGTCAATCCATTAACCATATATTCCTTGAACAAAAATAATATGAGTTTCTAAATACCATTTTTCATTTCAGCCCTTCATATTCAATATACAGGGTGTCAAAGTTGGAAATTAAAAACTGTTTTTTTCTAATTACTCGCGTATTTGATGAGATATTAATCTCAAAATTGGTACATTACTTCAGCACAAAGAGTTACATCGTGTGAGGAAAACAAAACAGAAAATAACTGTCAAATATTCAAAATACTGGGGTTCAAGTACACACTTAACCCCATATTTTTTTTGTACGTGCGCTAATGACTTCCCATCTATTTTTCTTCAAGTGTTCAATCATTTTTGAGTATTTTTTGTTTCTTGTAAAATTTCGATTAAATCATTTGTTTTTAAGATAATTCGAAAAGTACTGGTTATTGTTTGATGCCTATGTGGCTTATGGTAATCACATAATGTTCAAATACTCCTATTTATTTCATCGAAATTGGAAGAGGGCGTATCTTATTACGTACGGAAAGGTAAATATGGAAATACCGGGTGCTCAGAGCGAATGTATAAAAATGATTTTTACATTTTTTTTTTGTATGGATAACTTTACTTGGACATCCAATGGATATCTTCATGTGGGCATCCTATTGTTGTCCAGATTGTGTCCAAGGACACTTTGGACATATAATAATAATGGACACCATATGGATTACCTCACCTGGACATCCACTGGATATCTTCATATATATGGACATCCTATTATCCAGAATGTGTCCATGGATACCTTGGACATATAATAGACACAATATACAGATATCCAATGGACATCTTGTGTTATTAGATGAGATTTTATTTTAGATAAGAGTTGATATCGCCGAATTTTTTCCAGAAGTCGGACTTAATTCATCCTCGGTACTTTCTTGTTTATGATGCTAGACGACTACGACAAATATCGAATCTCATCAAGTCCAGGAAAGGTAGTCTCTACCCAGCAAACATTAATACATGGGCTAGCACATTTAGAGCAATGACACTCCAGTGAACTATAATTGGCTTGATATTGGCATTTTTCATTGGTAAATCACAAAAGTTGTCCACTGGCCGACTTAACGCCAAATATTGGCGAAGCAGTACTTCTATTAATTTATTGCTTATTAATTGTTGGCCCAGTGATACTGACGTATTTTCAGTGCATTCCCAATGGAAAAATTGAGTGGTTTATTCTTACACAGACAATTCTGAGGTTACCTATAGAAAATATTATTTTACAGATAATGATAATATAATAATTACTACAATAACACTTCTCGTATTCAGCTATTCAAATCTGATCTGGTAAATCATCCTAGAGAGTGCACTTATTCTTATTCCCCGTTTCTGTTAATTTATATTGTAATTTCGGGAATATGGCCAAAAATTCGAGAACTTAAATTTTTTTTCTTTGCCTTACTTACATCAGTGGCTTTATAGCTTGGTGAGGGTGAATTTGAGGACACATGTTTGTATGGGGAGGGGGTCTTGTTTTGGTCCAAACAATTTGTTCTTGAAGTGTTCGCGTCGAATTTTGAATCATCCTGTATATATCCTTTTTTTTTAGTTCATGATTTTATCTGAGAATATTCCTTTTCAAGACTTACCAGTTGTTTACTTTTTTGTAAGAAACTGAATAAAACCTGTCTTGTCACCTAGACTATTATTCCTTTATTCCTTGCTATTTTTTTCATTAACGTTCGATTATTTCAGAGATTGTCGTTAGGTTAGCGCTGTTAGTGCTAATGTACCATTGTTTGCCTATGTCGCCGTGGTCGCCAGTCGAGAGTAGACCTTTTGGATCACGGCGATGTGTGGTGTTGTATTTCTCTCACCGCGTGTCTTAACACGTTGACGGACACCTTTTCGCGATAGAAAATAAGCGTACGCCACCTATAGGAGTTCTTGAAAGCTGTTTTTTTGTTTGTGCCTATTGGTCATATCATCAAAACAAACCGCTCATAAGTGTTCAAGTTATTAACATTTCTCTGCATGTTTTCACACTAAAAACAAAACGACGGGTATGGCCGGTCATGTCCTATATGGCAGTCCCCACAAGAGTAATTTTTCTCCCAGGCTGGACACTGACGCCTATTCATTCATTTCAAAAATGGCTTTGCTGAGTTCGGCTGAAGATAGCAAAGCCAAAGATTTTTCTATGATAGAGCGGAGCAAAAAAATTGCAAATTTTCTTCAATTCACTCGTGAGCCGCTCCACCCCGTAACAAGTGAATGCATTCCATTTTTTCTTCATAACTTATCGAAAATTTAACCTACAAATTTTTGATCCGGCTCAAACGATTGACAACACACTTATTTATGTTAGTTTCACGTTTTTTCGTTTGTACCTATGTATTCTATGGATAAATCCCTAGGACCCCACCGTAGCCTCGTGGTTGAAGCGTCAGTATTCTATCCACGTTGGATTGCCGGTAGGTGGGTTCGATTCAGACCACGGCCTAAGAAAGTGTTTGGGATCACACGTTAAAATGTAAGACCCCCGTCATTCCTTGCTCGCCGTACGAGGGCAACCGAATAATGGGTAAGAACAATTTTAGAACAACCCCAGGTAGGCTTTGTCAAAGTTTCAAAGTTTGAAAAACAGACCTCAAGTGCTCAAATAAGAAACAACAAGTGGACCACTCAAATATTTGACAATTTTCAAACCGCCATATCTTTTTAGAAAATGGATGGATTTTCAATCGGAATGCAGTGCTTGGAAGATGCAATCTTTCTGTTCAAGATTCCTTGTTCAAAACTCGTCGGGAGTTTTTCTGTCACGTGTGTATTCATCACTGTCATCATCGGTTCGACAAGAGGCATTATATTGGGTGTTGCATCAGTGACATTAATTGCGTAAATGAGTGTTGATTACAAAGAATCGACTTTTTCGATCGATTTTCGATTACGCGATGAAAAACCTTGTGATAAATAGGTTTCTTGACTCCATGTCAGCTCAGGAATATCTTACAACCATTATAGCATCGTTATTGTATGAATTGTTCAGAAAAATCCAGAAGGGCCTCCTTGCGCCCGCTTGGATTGCCTTATCTGGAAAATCACGAAATCAATTCAAGATACTGAGCAGATCAATCGATCCAAATGGAGGATTTGTGTTAAGCATAGCATATGGTTATGGCAGCACCAAACTGAACAGACGATTTCACCTAATTCTGAAAATTTCTCCAAAAACATTAATTCTTCTTCTGTTAAAAGTTGTCGATGATTTCAACGCAATATGAATCTATGTTCTAGGATGTGTTCCATCGTATAGAGTGGCAAAATACGTTGAAGTTGGCTTGCATAATTTTAAAATCGGAAATGATGCGATAAAAACCTAAAAATGAAAAATCATCGATTTTCAATATCCTGTATGAGGAATATGTAAAATTACAAAACCGTTTCCAGATATTGGCTTGAACGTTCGGAAAAACGCATAATTGGAAAATTAAAAAAAATCCCTGAGATACGGGAGCGATTGAATATTCTCTCATTTTTGTAATACTTTTTCCGAACACTTGGTGTATAATGACAGAAAAACTCCCGACGAGTTTTGAACAAGGAATCTTGAACAGAAAGATCGCATCTTGTTTCTTTGAGCACTTTATTTATTCTTTTAATACAAATTCAACATTTTTTTTTCTACTCACCTGTGGTGTAAACAAACTTGTTGACTGGGTTATATAAATAAGCTATTTGTCGGTAATGATGATACCTTCTCAGTTTGATCAATGAACAGAATGATAATATGTGCATATCTTTATATGAGGGAGAATGCAAATTCTTTTCTTCACAAGATTTTGTTTTCAAATTCTTATCGTGTGTGTTCAATAGATGTAATTCAATATGTTCGTCGTGGCTTAGAGCCAGGAAAGAAGTTGTTTTCTGTTGAATAAACCGAGAAAGAGTTAATATTTTCATTACTTGCGGAGAATGCGAATTCTCAAAGTATTTCTTTATATACCGGGTGTCCCATTTTAATCTTTATTTGGAAATTTCTCGAAATGTATGCATCTGACAAAAAAAATTGCCGAATAAAAGTTGTATGGTTTGGAGGGGGACGTCTGGTTATAAAACAAGTTTCACCCCCTGACCCCCAGGGGAGTGGGAAATGGAGGAAACATTGAAACCCCTATTTTTTATTGCAGATTCTGGAAGAGCATTAAAAACTACGAAGCTTTTATTCGGGAACTTCTTTTTTATTTTCACAAGATGGCGCTGCGATCGTAAAAAACAATATTTCACTATTCACACATTTCAACCCCCCGAAGACGAGGAAGAGTGTAGGGTGTGATATTTTCCCAGACAAACGCCGATCCGCAAATCGACGTCGATATTCGCGCTCAGCCTCTTGGTAATTACCCTTCGCACGTTCGACACACATAATCATATTTACAATCTCGTTCGGTAAATAATCCGACATCGCGAGACAGTGACAGATTTAAATTGTTTTTACATGGTGTTGCCATACAATGAAAATTATCACTTACCGTGTGAATCTGCAATAAAAATATCACCCCAACGGCGTTTGTCTGGGAATTTCACACCCTACACTCTTCCTCGTCTTCAGGGTGTTGAAATGTGTTAATTCGAACTGCTTGATATCTTTTTAATGATAAAAAGCCACCCAAATACAAACTAAATAGTAAAATATTGTTTTTTAAGATCGCAGCGCCATCTTGTTAAAATAAAAAAGAAGTTCCCGAATAAAAGCTTCATAGTTTTTAATGCTCTTCCAGAATCTGCAATAAAAAATAGGAGTTACCATTAAAGATTTCAATGTTACCTCCATTTCCCACTTCCCTGGGGGTCAGGGGGTGAAACTTGTTTTATAACCAGACGTCCCCCTCCAAACCATACAACTTTTATTCGGCAATTTTTTTTGTCAGATGCATACATTTCGAGAATATTCCTTTTCAATTGTTTACAGAAACCTGCATGCTCACATAAAACAACACTACGATCCTCTTCACCCCACTATACCCGCTTCACCCCCGTTGACTGTACTTATAGTTAATTGATTCTTTATTTCATACAAATTAAAAAATCTGTTTAATCCATAAGTTTTTAAAATAAAAATGACGACATTATAATCATGAGTGACCTTACATTAATTTCACAATTGTATATCAACAGTGTTTTTTATATAATAGGTAGTTATTGACTTGAAAAAGTGAGGGTGATAGTAAAAAAATAATTGTAGGAACAAATAATTCCAACATTATTATATCAGTCATGTTTAGGTTCCCTTGCAACAACAGCTAGATAGCAAAATGCACCACATCGGGGAACTGGTTGGGCCGCCAAAAATGCTCCACCATCTGGTGAATTCTCATACAACATCGGCTTTTTGGTCTGCTGTGTGGATGATGGTTCTCCCATTTCATTGGTTTCTACTTCGGCTATACCTCCAGGCTATAATTATAACAAAATACATAGACTCGTACTTTTGTTTTGAAAAGATGATGATTTCCAATATTAATAAGGGGGTGAAATATGAGGTTTTACTGGCAGGAGACCCGGAACCATTTTTTTCTACGTCTATAACCCAAGATTGCTCTTGATTCACTGTGTTCGATACTTCAATGAGGTACTTTATTAAGTCATCAATTTTATTTCCGTTTCTGATATCACAATGACTCCATTTTGTTATTATTTAAAAAAAAAAACTTATCGCCTATGGAATGTAAAATTTCAAGCAATGACGACAGCTCTGTCTAATAGATGACCATTACTTGACAGGAAATCAGATGGCTATACAAGACAAAGAAATCGAAAATGCCGCTGTTATACAAGGTGATTCTAAAATAGGTGGTCAAACTTTGGGAGCATATAGAGTGGGTGAAATAGTTATGAAAACCTCTGTAACATTTTTTTCTGAAGTGACCCCCAAGAAAGATACAGTCCCTCAAAGGGGGGCCTCGGAGAATGATTTTGTATCATTATCTCCAACACCTTGTATAATGAAAATCTGAAATTTTGTCCATCCACTTACTATTCAGTGCCGGTTCGAATGGAGTTAAAATGACCTCGAAATAAAATACAGGGGTGTGTCAAAATAGGGAGGTAGGGGGTAAAAATAACTTCAACTTTTTTGTTTATCGCAATTTCAGTTTTTTGACATGAAATTATGAAATCTCAGGGCTATTTTCTATTTACACACAAAAGGTGCTCTTGTTGCATCTCGATAAAATGAACTGTTAGCGAATAAAATTTCAAAAAAAGCTTGTTTTTAACAATATTTTTTTATTTTAGAATTTTCAATAGGATCAGACCATAATCACGAAACTCGACGTCTATTTTTAATTCATGAATTCCGACAACGAATTCAAAATTTCCAACCCCAAAAACCCTTACAAACCAATTTTGAATCGAACCGAACCATAATCACAAATCTGGTCAGCCACATTGGAGCCGCCGTAACGCGTTGTCAACTGTCATCTGCCAGATTCCAAGTTGATCAGACGATTAGAAGCAGGTAAAAATTCAGTTGCAAGATTTGAACTAGATAATTAAACTTGAGTGCATACCAAAATTGCAATTTAAATGAAATCTTGGAAAAATAAATTTTATTCGCTAATGATTCGGTTTATCGAGATTCAACAAGAGCTCTTTTTCTATGTTAATAGCCCCAAGATTCCATAATTTCATGTAAAATAACTGAACTTGCGATGAACAAAAAAGTTGCGGTTATTTTTACCCCCTACCTCCCTGTTTTGAGACACCCCTGTATTTAATTTTGAGGTGATTTTAACTCCATTCGAACCGGCACTGAATAGTTAGTGGACAAACAAAATTTCAGATTTTCATCATACAAGGTGTTGGAGATAATAGTACAAAATCATTCTCCGAGGCCCCCCTTTGAGGGGCTGTATCTTTCTCAGGAGGCACTTCAGAAGAAAATGTTACCGAGGTTTTCGTAATTATTTCCCTCACTCTATATACTCCCAAAGTTTGACCACCTATTTTAGAATCACCTTGTATAACTGTGGTATAACTTGCACGGAATGATAATTTCCTACTCGAATAATTGCAAACTTCATTCTCGTAGGAAATCACTATCATTCCGTGCTCGTTAAACAATATACTATACCCCCTGCTGTATCTTCGTTGACATTTTGAATGGATGTTTCAAATGTGGTACATCGATTTGATTGGACGAGTGGAGGATTTTGCTAGTTTCAGACCGGAAGTGCATCAATTTTTTTTATTTCAAATACAAAGTATAATTTTTTTCTGGATATTACGATACAGTATAAAATTACCTATTCAACGATATAGAGTGTGTTACAATTTGGTCCACCCCACCCCTGTACTTTCGTATTCCTAGTGCGATTTGAAATTTTTTTTCTCACAGTATACTACTCAAAATCATCTACTTTTTCGAGCAAACAAAATTCATCAATTACAATTTCTTAGCCTACTGCGATCACAAAAACTCCAGCATAATTGAAGAAAACGGATTAGGCATTTTTTACAAAACAAAAATTTTGCTGTAGGCAATCGATTCGGACTAGTCACAAATACTCTTATATCAATTTTCAAAACAATATCTCATACGGGGTGTTTTTTATCAACGTTACAATTTTTATTGAATAATTGCACTTTTCAAGTCACCGTGTATAATAAGTCTTAGAATTTGAATGATATTGATAGTAGTCAGGATTAGAACATCTGGCTACAGAGTGAGATGAATAACTACGAAAATCATTGAAATAAGAAGGAATCACTTTTAAATATTGTACATACATTTGGAACCATAATGTATACTGCTCGGCACTACTAACTATTCCAAATGCGAATGGAGAGTGCGTATACAGGGTGAGTCATAACTATATTGGGACATAGGCTAAGGGCGGATTGTCTGGACCAAAATATGGCGATAGGACCATAAAATATCGCTGAGGAAAAATATACAGGGCGTTTCAATCGAAAAAGTATTGAATATTAACTCGAACCAACATTTATTCACTGACAACTAATATCATTTACCAACAACAATTATCTGACAGTCCAAAGCACACTCTTATTCATAAATGGAAGTTTTTCTCGAAAACGGATGAAAATATCGTGTTTGAACAGGAGTAACGATATTCCGTGGAAATGATGTTTATGTCATATTTTTCAATCAAAATCACTAAAAAGTTTCGTCAAAAAAAGTGACCAGTCGATTTCATCATCAGGAATCATTCACGTGGTGCCCCCTGTAACGAACTGTAGAATTATACATAAAATAATATTCCCTGTATAAAATTATGCCTCTGTGCTGATTTTGATGACAATTGATGAATATACAGTGAAATTATTAGCAAACATCGAAAAAAAAATGCAACGAATTCAACGCCCTCTATCATTTTCCACAGCAATATTTTATCACGGCACATTCGGTCCTATCGCCATATCCTAATTCAAACAATTAATCTGCCCTTATTAGCCTATGTCACAATAGTTATGACTCACCCTGTATAGTGTAGAGGTATTTCAAGTTATACTCTCCGTGATATCATTTAAGGATGCTGTTTATTATGTCATAGAATAAATTCAGTATGTAACATTTATTAGTAAAATGTAAGGAAATGATTTGCGATATAAACAAGTTTGAATGTGGTTCATTTTGAATTCATAAACCCAGGTATCCCATTCGTATCTACCTGAAAATCTGTATACACAATATATTGGGAAAAATTGATTTTGGCATCAAAATGGAAATAAAGAACACCAATGAGTAGATATATGCTGAGCAGTAAATAATGAAAAAATCAACTTACCAACAAGTTTGCTATGTTTGGTAAAGGACTCGTGGGAGGATTGTCCGTAAATGGAGGCTGTAATTCCCCCTGTTGTATATTAACCACTAAATAATACATGAAATCATTTCGTAGTTTCATTTCTTCTATACTTCTATTACAAGTCGCTAGCTTCTTCATCCATTTAACAGCTTTTTGCCTATCTGGATAGGTTAATGTTGATCAAACCTTGTATGACATGCATAGGTACATCATTGAAATCACTTACCTTCAGGTCTTGATAAATTGGATAGCATAATTTTTGCAAGAAACATATTGTAATTGCAATCATAATTCAAATTTTCTGCTGCCTCACCCATTTTATTGATTTAGAGAATCCTTTTTTACAGAAATTTTTGATGTTACAATGACGTTCCTAAAATGACAAGCAATATTTTGCTGATGCATACAGTACGAGTGGTTTTTTCATTGAAATTTATGCCACAATTATATTACATAATTATACCGGGAGTTTTGTACAAACTTCAAAGGGTTTATCTTTGACTGATTTCAAGATGAAAGGCTGGGTTTTTGATGTACAGAACGTCAAAAAAATATATTTTTTATTTGATGTATAGGTATGCCTACTCAACGAGCCAAAAACATCTCAGAGATGTTAATAAGTACGAGATGTCGAGATTGAACCTCCATTATTGCGATGTCCTGAATAGAAATTTCATAGAACAGCCAATAATGTCCGCCGCAGACGGCGTTTCTAAAGATATCCTTGGAATGTTACAAAAAACATTCTCCCTGGCTCTTTCATAGCCTTTTCATGGACACAACATAACCTTTTCGAAGCGTTCTGCGCATATTCAATCGCTGCAAATAAACCATTATTCCTTATAGAAAAAGTAGAAAATAAAAAAGGAGCTTATTTTCCCGCTGGGGAATGAAACCTACTCGATCTCTTGTGATTGAATTCATCTGTTGATTGAATTTTTACAATCCTTATACCTTGTCCATTGATTCGCTATAAGAACCTTATTGATGAATGATATGGATAGAAAGATGTCAACATGCACTTCATTATATATAGTAGGATAATAAATCAGCATTGAGGCTACAGAATAATAATAGGCTGAGTCAGGGGAAATATTATAAATATTAATACAAGAATCATATATCAAATCGCAAAACAAAAACCCGACGCCAATGACGCTTAGACCAATAAGGATATGACGATTTCTACCTTTGGTTGAAAATCCAACTTTGGCCGAGAAATGTCAAGTTATAGCTGGTCAAAATCAGTCAATTTTTTGGCTGTCCCTCTTCATCTGGTAATGCGTAATTTATATAGAGTACCAATAAAATTGGTCACAGTTGGCCACGTTAACAGTCCAAAAATGAAATCACTCTCTTGTTGGAAGGACACTCGGATGGACATTTCAAATTTCAATTAACTGACTATTGAACAGCGAAGTTTCAGACGTATTTTAGATCAAGAAGATTCAGACTCATTTTGGATTCTGCATATTTCAATGGAAATTTCAACCTTCATTTTCAGTCAATCATATGCTTTATTTCGACAATGTAACCAGCAGTTTTTTTGGAAATTTTCCATCCACATAAGCATGTAGAGGCGTGAAATTAATAAGTGAAAATGTTCTGGAACATGACAGCTATCATATAATTTAGACAAAATTGAAATAATCATACAAAATCAATTATTTTTATATAATAATGTATGATACTATAAATTTTATTTTACCTGGATAAAGGGAGAGTAAATATTCACTTAATGTTTTCTTTTTAAATATAATATGTATAATTCCGGTATACATTTTCTGACTTCCCCACGTGCATGAATAAATTGCGAGAAATTTGTCTCGTACATGGATTTCAAATAAAATTCATGTACTCTAAAAATTTCAGGCAATAATTCATTCACTAGGGGGATCATAATAAGTGAAAACCTTCCTCCTAGAATTTGGGAACACTAATTCTTCAACATTGATGGGTACTGGACTGGGTTCAAATTATAACAACTCCATATTATAACAAAATCGTTTTTTATTTCTGTATAAAATAAATTAATTGAAAAAATCACAGTTTTAGCCAAGGTATAATACTTTGTACAAAATCATTCAACCTTTCAAATAATTAGTCAACTTCTTCAATCGTAGGTCCTTGTCTTCCCGCGAATCCACCCGCTTGCTGACCACAACTTCCAGGTCCAGTCATTCCACCAGGCTGGTTATTCTGAGATTCTCCGCCATACAATTTGGTCATTATCGGGCTGCAGGTTCTGGTCATTTGCTTCTGTTTTTCCTCATATTCCTCCTTCTCGGCCAACGAATTGTTGTCCAACCATTTCAGACAGTCTTCACATTCTCGTTCAACAGTTGCCTTGTCTTCAGCAGACAGCTTATCCCCACAATCCTGCACAGCTTGCTTGATCTGGAAGACATAACCCTCCAACTGGTTTCTTGCTGCTATGCGCTGCCTTTGACGTTCGTCCTCTTCCTTGTATTGCTCAGCTTCGGAAACCATCCGGTCAATGTCTTTCTGAGACAACCTTCCTTTGTCGTTTTTAATGGTGATGTTTTTGGAATTTCCGGAGCTGGTGTCTTTGGCCGATACGTTCAAGATGCCGTTAGCGTCCAGATCGAAAGCCACTTCAATTTTGGGAACACCGCGAGGTGCAGGTGGTATACCGGTCAAGTCGAATGTTCCCAGGAGGTTGTTGTTTTTCGTCATGGCCCGTTCTCCTTCAAATACTTGGATGGTTACAGCTGGCTGGTTGTCTGCGTAAGTCGTAAAGGTCTGAGACTGTTTGCAAGGAATCCTGGAATTGCGTTCGATAATCTTAGTCATGACTCCTCCTGCCGTTTCTATGCCGAGGGACAGTGGTGTGACGTCAACTAACAAAACATCTTGGATTTTGGAATCGGTTTCTCCGTTAAGAACGGCGGCTTGTACAGCTGCACCATAAGCTACAGCTTCATCAGGATTGATAGAGAGGTTTAACGGTTTTCCGCTGAAGTAATTTTGCAGGAGTTGTTGAATTTTAGGGATTCTCGTAGAACCTCCTACTAGAACAACATCGTGGATCTGTCCCTTATCCATTTTAGCATCGTTCAGTGCTTTCTCAACAGGCTCTAGGGTCCCTCTGAACAAATCCGAGCACAGTTCTTCGAACCTGGCTCTGCTGAGTTTGGTATAGAAATCTGTGCCTTCAAAGAGGGCATCAATTTCTATCGTCGCCTCTGTGCTGGATGATAGTGTTCGCTTGGCTCTTTCAGCTGCTGTTCGTAGGCGACGTAATGCTCTAGGGTTGTTTCTCAAATCCTTCCTGAATTTCCTCTTGAATTCGTCTGCAAGATGATTGACTAGACGGTTATCAAAGTCCTCTCCACCGAGATGGGTGTCCCCTGCTGTCGCCCTCACTTCGAACAAAGATCCTTCGTCGATGGTCAAAATGGAGACATCAAAGGTACCACCACCCAGGTCGAAAATGAGCACATTTCTTTCGCCTTTCAAGTTTTTGTCCAGGCCATAAGCTAGGGCTGCTGCGGTGGGCTCGTTTATGATCCTCATCACGTTCAGTCCAGCGATGGCACCTGCATCTTTGGTTGCCTGTCTCTGGGAATCATTGAAGTAAGCTGGCACTGTAACGACTGCATCTTTGATGGGAGTGCCTAGATAAGCCTCTGCCGTTTCCTTCATTTTCGTCAACACCATCGAACTCACTTCTTCCGGGGCAAACGTTTTTTTCTCGCCTTTGAAGACTACTTGGATTTTTGGCTTGCCACAATCGTTGACAACTTTGAAGGGCCAGTGCTGGATGTCCTGTTGGATCTTTGGATCATCGAACTTGCGGCCGATCAGGCGTTTGGCATCGAAGACCGTGTTGTTGGGATTCATGGCCACCTGGTTCTTGGCAGCGTCCCCGAGGAGACGCTCTGTATCTGTGAAGGCAACATAGCTGGGTGTCGTTCTGTTGCCCTGGTCGTTGGCGATGATTTCCACTTTTCCTTGTTGCCACACACCAACGCAGGAATAAGTTGTTCCTAAATCAATACCAATTGCTGGAGCTTTCACCATTTTGATATTTTAATTTTCTCTGGATTCACTTCGAAATTCTCTAAGCACCGTAGTGTAGATACACTTTATTCTTTGTATACGTATCAACAGATATCAAGACTTTTTGCTCGTTTACTGTCACCAGTAAATGTTTACTTCTCGCAGTTTTCGAATCAACTGATTTTGTCCGCCGCTACGAGGTGCTTTTATATGAACGGCGAATACGTCGCGATGAGTCTCGAACATTTTCGAAGCGATTCGAACAGACTGGAAAATTCTGTGTGAATCGCTCGACTTTACGGGTAAAAGTCAGTTGGGCAAGAGGTGATATCTTAAAATTCCCCTTTTGATTTCATAGAGAAAAACTGTTGTTGTTTCAAAACTGAATACTATTCGGAAACAAAAAACAAGAATTAACATGCAAAAATTCATATTCTCGCAGGATTTCATTGCATATTATCTTCAGATTATTTTTGTGGGTAAACTGGTACATACATGTAAATATTCAAAGTTGATACCTACCATCCATGTACCGCTAAAAAATTGATAATAATTGAAGAAATTGCTATTACATGTAGGATACTGAAGGAAAACTCAAATGACAAAATACGCGTATTTCCCATAGTACCTAACAAATTCAGGTCTGTACAACATCTTTTAGCACATATTCCTGATTTCAAAATAAGCCAATTTGAAACAACTTACCTAAATCAGAAATTACGCCATTTTCGAGATACAATAAGGTTAAAAAACGAAAATCGACGAGTACACTCCAAGAAAGTATTGTGAAATAGTACATTACACACCGAGGTGGAAAAAGATTCATTTCTGTCGTGAGTTAGTTAACCGAGACGCAAATCGTCGAGGTTAGCTATGATTTCGAGACAGGAATGTATAACTTCCTACCGAGGTTTGTATACTTTTTTATTTACAATTTCGATCAAAATTAATGAATCTCTGTTTCGTTCTGAACATACCTAAAATATCACATAAGTGAGGGCAGGAAGCAGTAAGGGCGAGAAGTAGTAAGGGCGGGAAGTAGAGCTGTGTAATGTGACACTTCCCAACCTTCAATGACGTTAGTAATGACAACATTACATATTTGGTTGTGAATAAAATCCATTTCTGTACCGCTAATTAACTGACCAGATAACATATCCACGAAGATAACAGCAAACATTTTTTATTCAAAATAATTTGAATATAATATCTGGTGCGGTATCGAACACTAAAAACGAAATATCTCGAAATCGGCTTACTTTAGCTCACAATAGTACCTTTTTTTGCTTCACAATGGAAGAAATATTATCTCCTTAGCGAAAAAAGTGAGAAACTACACTGAGAAAAAAGTAATCGCCATTCTAAACTATAAGAAAAGCATTATTCGGAATCGCCCTCTATATAATGGCCACAGTGAAAAAAATTTCGGTATTCGAGTTTCGCATTTCGAAAAAATCCCGGATACCAATTTTTGAAGTGATAATACGTTTAAAAATTTCCATAAATACTGAAAAAGTCGATTTTTATTTTTCAAATTAACCTCTCTGTATCTCGGAAACAGAACAATTTCGGACTGAGGTAAGTTGCTTCATATCGGTTTATTCCCTATTCTGACCTCAGGAATATGTACAGACCTTTCAGGGAAACCCTTTATACATGCAGGGTGTCCCATAAGTCATGGATCAAAAGAAGTGGGGTGGTATGGGGGTCATTTCCAATGAAACTAACCGTATATGTGGTTACCCAATTGTTAATGGTTCAAAAGTAATCAATGTTTTTTCATGTCTATAAAAAGAATTAATTACAATAAAACTATGTCACATTTGTGATTTTTTCTTTTAGAGTTTCATCCTCATGCACCTTTCCCCAAAAACAATTTTATGACATGTAGTACTTCTTATCAATTACCTGAGAAAAATGTTGTTTTCCTTGAGTTTTGTCATCGAATGAAATATTTAAGTCGAATAAGATGACCAATCATAAGAAAAAGTTGCTCATTTAATAGACTCCGAAAAGGTATAACATATGGGGTTATTCAAAACAGCCTTTTTGTTATTAATTTTTTTCAAATGGGTCACATTTTTCAGAAAAAGTGGATAACTTTTGAACTATCAACAATTTGATGACAACAAACCGTTAGTTCGATTACAAATGACCCCCTCTACCACCCCACTTCTTTTGAACCACCCTGTATAATCGTTTTCAAATTCCAGTCTACGATAACTAAAAGATGCTATATCATTTTCTAATTCTTCTTCAATTCATCTCGATAATTTGTATAATTATTATTTTCGTTTATATGATCTCTCTTCAAACTGTCAGCATAAAGTATAGGCAGGGGCGTCGATAATGTTTTTTCTTGGAGGGAGGGAGGGAAAAGGCTTTTTGGTTTAGGTAATGAAAGAAAATCATACGTTGAAGAGAGCCATAAATAACATACACTCACCGGCACAAAATTCCGCCACCCTGAAATTTTGTCCAAGTTTGATGTTCTATAACTTATTTATTTTTCATCCGATTTTCATGATTTTGTTATCAGTTTGTAGATCCATTTATTATGTTTTTCTTCAATCATTTTATAAAGTATCATTTTTCGATTAGGCTATATTATACAGGAGGAAATCAAAATGTTGTTTTTTGTCGTAATTTCAAAACACCCTGTAGGGAAACTGAGGTGGATAATTCTGTTTACATACTGTTTCTTGTAATCTCTGATGTATTCTAAACATTTATTTTTTTGATTCATTCCATTATCTCATTTGTGCTGAGAGCTGCAAAATTTTAAATGAAACGATGTTATTTTTTGAAAATGTACCTATGTCAAGATTTCGGTTAAACATTATCGACGTTGGCTTTGGACGCGATTATTGTGGCAGAATGTTTGACAGTGAGAAAATTATAATTTGTTGTGTGTCAATATGGTATTAACTCCAGCAGACGTGGGTAGAATTGTTGCGTTAATAGAGGATGGCCGTAGCAAAAGTTATGTCGCCCGCACTCTGAGAATTCCGCGGTCAACAGTTCGAAATGCCTGGAGTAGGTATTTACAGACGGGAATTTTTACTAGACGGCAAGGCTCTGGCAGAAGGAGAATGACCAGTGCAGCTGATGATCACTTTGTCTCCATTAATTCTTTAAGAGATCGAAGATCTACTGCTGTGTGTATAAAAAATGACTTGCAAATTATTCGTGGAGTAAACGTAAGTGAAAGAACGATACGTAGAAGATTGGCAGAAGCTGGGCTTTATTCACGAAGGCCAACAATATGTCCACGATTACTTCCTCGCCATCGACAACACCGACTGAGATTTGCAAGATCGCATTCTGACTGGACTCTAGAACAGTGGGGAAACGTACTATTCACAGATGAATCCAGGGTTTGTTTAAGGTCGCCGGATGGTCGTGAGCGGGTATACAGACGTAGAAACGAAAGATATGCTGACTGCACCATATCAGAACGAATCTCATATCATGGCGGTTCAGTCATGATTTGGGCGGGTATTTCTACCGAAGCACGTACCAATCTTGTATTTATTGAAAATGGAGCCCTAACCGCCCACCGTTACATTGAGGAAATCCTCCAAGAAGTTGTTGTTCCATTTGCTCCTTTCATTGGGAACGAATTCACATTAATGCATGATAATGCTAGACCTCACGTTGCACATGTAGTGAGCGAATACCTGGATGAAGTTGGACTTCCAAGATTGGAATGGCCTGCATGTAGCCCGGATCTCAACCCAATCGAACATCTTTGGGACCAACTTAAAAGAGCCGTTCGTCAACGTCCTGTACAACCACAAACCTTGCAAAACTTACGACTGGCGCTGACCGAAGAATATGAAGCTATTCCTCAAGAAAGAATAAGTGACCTTATTCATTCGATGCCGCGAAGACTGCAAGCTGTCATTGCTGCGAGAGGAGGAAATACACGTTATTGAATTGTTTTTGTTGATTAACTTCATGATATACCTGGTGTTTCTTTTTCTTAATAAAAATAGGCTTCAAATCAGCGTTTCATTTAAAATTTTGCAACTCTCAGCACAAATGAGATAATGGAATGAATCAAAAAAATAAATGTTTAGAATACATCAGAGATTACCAGAAACAGTATGTAAACAAAATTATCCATCTCAGTTTCCCTACAGGGTGTTTTGAAATTACGACAAAAAACAACATTTTGATTTCCTCCTGTATAATATAGCCTAATCGATAAATGATACTTTATAAAATGATTGAGGAAAAACATGATAAATGGATCTACAAACTGATAACAAAATCATGGAAATCGGATAAAAAATGAATAAGTTATAAAACTTCAAACTTGGACAAAATTTCAGGGTGGCGGAATTTTGTGCCGGTGAGTGTATAATAAAATTACAAAACTAATAAACTAAACTTCTTTGGAAAAAATTATCATTCTTGGGGGGTAGTTTTACCCCCATTACCCTTTATATCGACCGCCCTCTTGTAAGTAGGTATACCCTCAGAAGCAAAAGACCAATATGTCATCCAATCCCATGATAATCCAATCCAACGATACTGTGCGCGTGTTATGGTCTGTTGAATTCGTAATGAAAATCCCTTTCCGAATATGTTTTATGTGCCTAAGTTACAGTTGTAACTGCAAATTGGGCCAAGATTCGTGAACAAATTGTTATTTGTAGGCCTAGGCCGCGAATTAACTCTTTGGCGTGCCGAAATAAGAAACATTCATCGCCGAGGTCGTTCACTCGTTTCCGGCCGAAGCAATAAGATAATCTTGAGGCATAGAATAAGGTCACGACACACCGTACACACTATTAATTTTTCCTACGAGCGTGCACAAAGTAGCACTTTTCCGCACTCATTTGCGTGCGCAAAGTAATACTTTTCCGCACCCAGTGCGGATATTTTATATTTATTTTAGTTGCTGTTGAATATTGTATGCACTATCTATAAGAAGCCGTTATCCCTTTTACTTTTCAACCGTTCTTCCCGATATTTGTATTTCACCTCAATATAAATATTATAGGAACAAATGATTTAATTTTCTATCAATATATTTTATTGATATGTTATTGTTTGTTGTTTAGCTATTTCTATCAAGTTTAACTAAAAATTATTCAATAAATTGTAATTTAAGTTGAAATTTTTTTATTTTCCTTTTTATCTGATATGAAGCTCATATGAAAAACGTTGTTCCTAACACTAAAAGTAACACTTTGCGCACTTGTTAGGAAAATAACTATTTTCGATCAATATGTGCAATCGTCAAAATCGTCTGAACTATATAGTAATTTATTATACAAGGGAAAAAAGTAGTAGATTGCTGCTCCAGGTTGTGTTGTGTTGACAAAAAAAACCTGACTAAAATCTAATATTCTTCCCGTGTATAATACACAATTTTTTTCTGTGACAGGAAAAAGGACGAATCAATATCGAGAAGATATTACATATTATTCTTGATATATTATATTAAAATTATCGACGTGAATAAGTTTTTAACAGGAATGACACCGGCGTTGCAGGCATCTTTATCATTCTTTTGAAGTAATCAAATATCTGTCAGTCCAATGCTGTGATTTAGTGATTTGATTCTGAGAAATTGGAAATTGATCTTGACAAAACGAAAATAAGGTTGCATAAAAAGTTTCTTCAGGATCTCAATTCAGAGCCGTCATGAGAATATATGAATATAAGAATAAAAGAAAAAAAAGTTTCGGATTTTCTTGGACACCATCTGAGTTAGAACAAATTTTGCGATTACAGTGATCTATCCACTTTTTATAAGGAGGTCCCATATAGAAAATAAATAATGCATATCAAGACTTTTTTCGACACTATTTGAAATAAAATTGAAATTTAAAGTTCAGGATCACACTTTCTCAATTTTTCAGGGAGTCGTAGGGAAACACGGATGACTTTCAGGTATTTCATAGTTATTTGTACACCAAGGTAGTGAATAATATATCATTATCACCGATCAGGGAACATAATTATATCCCGAGCTTCAGCCGAGGGGTACAAGGTCCCGCGCTAATAATATAATTTACTACCAAGGTGTATATTATTGAATTCTTATAGTTCTGTCAAACTGAAATATGGACATCCAAGCAAACACTGTTACATCACAGAGATATCTCAGGGATGTAATAATTTTAACCTTGTCGCATAGACGTCACTGCGATGTCAGAGGGATGTTATTTTGTCCCACTGAAGTTTCATCCATGCGACGTCGCTGCGATAAGCTCTGCGATATAACAGCGATATATTTCCTGCAATATACGTGCCATATGTTACTTGTGATGGAAAACCACTGACCTCTGATGACATCTGAATATTGATTATGCATTGTTCTGACTGGTTGGTGGTCTCTCCCCTCATCCGATCTCCTGTCCATTCAATCGTCTTTTTAGCGGCGCTATACTTAGTACCTATATATGGATCTCCATCTGATGGATGAGATCATATGTTTGTATCAACAGTTTATTGTGTGTCGCCACAAGATGTGAAAGAAAGCCGAGAATAGAGTTTGATAGCAATCAATGTAACGTATCTTTGCGAATTTAGCTCCACTTTGTTGAGTAACGTACATTCATGTATTCTTTTACACCCAGCAAGAATGTAAATATCGAATTTTTGACGTATTTTCTGAAATACGAACTCAACATGTGTAACTACATCACAGCTATGCAACATTCGTGATATCGCAGTGTTGCCTCATCATGACATCTCAGAGATGTCATGTCGCAGATGTGTCGGCTTCTGTACATCGCAGCGATGGAATATTCGTAATATTGCAGGGTTCAGTGTTGCCTCATCCGTTATCGGTGGTAACGCCTCATCGCGAAATTTCAGAGATATCATGGCGCAGATATATGTGTTTGCTTTTGTACATCGCAGCACCAATGGATCATTCGTAATATCGCAGTGTTGCCTCATCTCGACATATCAGAGATGTCATATCGCAGATGTGTCTATCGGCTTCTGTACATATCGCAGCGATGGAATATTCCTAATATTGCAGTGCTCAGTGTTGTCTCATCGCGACATTCCAGAGATATCATGTCGCAGAGATGTGTTCGCTTCTGTACATCGCAGCGAAGGATAATTCGCAATTTCGCAGAATTGCTTCATCGTGACATCTCAGAGATGTCATATATGTCGCAGATGTGTTTGCTTATGAACATCGCAGCGATGGAACTTTTGTGATATCATATTTTTTATTGAATTTGAAGTTGCCGTGAGCTTGGCCAAGATCTTGAAACGCAACTCGTGACGACGCAACCAAAAATACAGCAGATCAGTGCCAATAAGTCACGATAGCCACATACCGGTGTAGACAGCAATGAGGTTATTCTCGCAGATTATGACAAAATGATACCGAAACCTAGACAATTATTAGTTCTCATGGGACATAATTTTAAATCTAACGAAAATCAATGTATTTACAATTATGATAGTAAGAATAAAAATATGATAATTCAGTATTTTAATCATCCATACTTTATATAGACGTAGACCAAACAAAGATCACGTGAGCGTGCGGCAATATTGCCACACTATTCGATTTCACTTTCGCCACAATGTCCTATATATACTGCTTTTATTGGCGGTCGTAGGAAAAAATACAGGGTGATTCACATAAGAACCGACATAGAGCAGGGGCATGTAGGGGGTCCCAAAATATGGCAATTCAACGCAACTTACCTCTATACCAAGTTGCTTCCCTAGGGAGATATAGGCTTTGAAAGTGAAGTTATAAATTTTGAAAAAAATCAATATCTTCGTTATTCTTGAACTTAAAGCAACCAAATTTGGTACACTTTGTGGATGTATTTAGGGCGTTACTTGACAGTAACTAGTGTTTAATTGAAATCTGTAAAGGGGGTATACCAGGTGGCGCACCATTAATATTCAACATAATTTTGTTAACCCTTGATGGATTTCAAAAATCTTTGCTTTGTTTTGTGGGCAATTTAATTCTAAAACTTCTCTCACTCTAGTAATTTTTCGAAAAACCTCATCATTTTCATCAAAAACTCGAATAACTGAAAACACGCGCTCTAGGTGTGTTATTTAAAATCATCGAAAATTCAAAAGTTGGCTATGAAAATAAACGTCGAACTTGACAATGAGGCAAGTGAGTTGTTCAATTAAGTAATTGTTCTTTGAGTGTTTTTAAAATGAACGGGAAGTTTTCTTTTAACGAGCAAGTTGACATGCTGTTTGTGCTATGCCTATAACTCCTTAGGGAAGTAACTTGGTATAATAGAGGTAAGTTGCGTTAAATTGCCATATTTTGGGACCCCCTACATGCCCCTGCCCTATGTCGGTTGTTATGTGAATCACCCTGTATATCTATCTTATATCGCTAAAGAATCAAAATCACTGTCACACTATAATTCAGGAACGTAATTTATTCTTTACGCCTTGGTATCTGATAATTAATTATAGTAATTACTATATATTACCATTGTTATTCGATGACTATATACCACCAACCGGTCATCCCTTCAATGGTATTGAAAGTAGATACTTTTTCAAACAAAATGATCGTTAGCGAAAGGATCATACAATTATCACTTCCAAAGGAAAATATTAAATTATCGAAGTTTGCCCAGTTGACTCCCGCCGATGCCAGACCCTGCATGTAAGAAATAATGCATGATTCATGCATAATCAGAAAATTTCTAGACGCTTCGATCTAATTCGACGATGTTCGATAGTTTTCGGGACATCTCAGATTTTTCTGTATCTGTCATGGGCGTCGCCAAAAAAATTTTCTAAGGGAACCTGAAATCGTCATTTCAGGACAATAATCATTTATTATATCTCAATTGGGATGAGACCCATGAATTAAATCGAATAAAAAATAGTTCGATAGTTTAATCATTGATGAAATAAACCTTTTAATCTATTTAAATGTATAGGTGACAATCATGGCCCCGAATCAATATGAAAATAAACTACTGCATTTTTTAAGCAATACACTTTCGAAATATTTTTTTCAGTTCTCGGTGCAGAAGGAGCAGAGCATTTTCTCTTCGAACGTTAGAGAAGTTGTATTTTTTCCGGTATATCATTGATTCGACCTTCAGGCATCTTACTTGAAATTTAGCCGTCATTGATTCAGTTGATCGATTCGATCATAGTTTTCCTTCTTGCTGAAGTCTGCAATAGCATAGGTCGATCAGAAAATAGAATTATTTTTAATCTCAGTTTTTAATCTTCAAAGAAAAGTTTGGGCGGAAAGGCGAGAAAGGCGGATTTCGATACATACGATGTTTGGGCAAAACGAAATTTCATCATAAATCTTAATATGTGTCATTCTGCTAAGTCAAAGTCAAACTTGTCATCGTGTCAATTCAAGTCAACGAAAGAAAATGTCAGTGACAGTCTGACAGTGTCATGAAATTTTCCAATCCATCATTATCATTATTTTATTATTAATATTTTTCCATTAGTTTACGTTTTACGTTTACTTATTCATTCATCTTTGGATTTTGAGGCCTACGATTAACATTTCTACTTACTTACTATTTATTGTCTACATTTGACTGTGCACAGACTGGTGGTTTCAGCACTCAGCAGTGTTTCTAGTCATTTGATCTGTTTTTTTAATCAAGTGTACTTACTTCAAGAAAAAGGTTAAAAAAGCAGTAAAAGCACACAAACGCAACGCATGTGTCATGTTCAATTAGCATACTAGAACATCTGATATAAAAATGAATAAAAAAAGACACCAAGGTGATCCAAATGGAGAAAATTCGTCAGAATCCACAGACGAAAATCAAAATAATGTTGAATGTCCTCATATTCATAAATCTGTGGAGTTGCAGAAAGTTAAAAAATGCCTAACTCGTACTGGATTCCTAACAGAATGTGATGAATGCAAAAAGTCACCCCCTAATATGGATTTGGTGGATATGGAATTTGACTCTTCTCTATGGTTATGTTTGAAATGTGGAAATCAAGCATGTGGCAGGGGACTGAATCAACATGCCCTAAAGCATTTTAATACCCCTCATTCAGATTCTCATGCAATGTGTGTCAATACTACAGTTTGGAGTGTCTGGTGCTATGGATGTGATGATGAGGTCAACTTAACCTGTAAGAAGAAGTTGCAGGAAGCAGTAGAGAACATTAGGAAACAGGCTGAGTCAAATAGAATCAAACAGCAGCCAAATATGCAACAAATTGCTGAAACTGTAAATCTTTTTTATTATTATCAATAGGTTAACATTTTCAACATGAAACAGGTCCCTCTTTCAGAACACTGGCTTTGTTGTAAAAAGTTACCTTATTAGTAGAACTAATAGTAGGAGAGCTTGCTGCAGATTATAGTTAATCTAACAGCACCTGTGCCAATCACTATCCTGAGCTGTGCTGTGGATTTGGCTCAGACTGAGGGGAGGCACAGGTAGGTTTTTGAGATCTACCATTCAATTGGTATTGAATGGCATAATTCTCATCTCATTATCAAATCCCAAAATCAAGTGCAAATTACTTCACAGGAAAGTGCAATTTTTCAATCATTTTGGTCAGGATAGTGTTTGCCACAGGTATTGTTTGATTAACTACAATGGTTTTGCAGCTGGCCCTCAGACTATAAATTACCCTTTTTCTGATATATTATTATACTTGGACACCTTTGAATTTTCAAATTGACATAATTTCCATATTATTGATTCAAATGTAAAGACAAAAAACATCCTTTAATCCATTGTTTCCTTGTTTAAATTCTATTCATAATCAAGGAACATTTGGTACCTCATTTGGAACATTCAGTAGAAAATTAAAAAGTTGGTTGAAAATTGGACATTGTTGATCTGCAAAGCATCCAAGATGCATTACATTTTTAATAACACTCACTACTTTCAGTATGATTGAAATTCATGTGGAATTAGTTCTAATTTTGGTTTGTATAAGTGGTGTACTGCATTATAGATATGAATCCAGGTTTATGACTTTATGAGTGTCAATTTTCCCTCTAAAATCTCTAAATGAATTCAGTTTTTGGAAAGTATACCTAACTCTAATGTGATTGTATCATTTGGTTGTAATGTCATCCCTATAGGTATACTTGATATTTGTGTGTAGATATTTGTTCCAATTTATCAGCTGTCTGTCTGGTTAATCTTACTTTCCTTATGAAAATTTTCAATATCATTGGTTGACTGATATAATAAAACTGCAAATCTATATGATAGATAAGGAAAATTGTCTTTTTGTTGAAATAACTATTTGCATGTCTGATTTGAGACAAGATTTTTACTATTGGACAACAACAAAAAATCATCAGTAAATTTAGTATAACAAAGTTAACTGATATTCCTAATTGTATCATGGTGTGAATTTCAATTTCAATTTGATGTCTCTAAGATGTCCAAAGGGAACAGATTTTGTTTCAGAAAAAACATCAGACAAAAAAAGGATTTCCACATTCATGTAATCATGATCCTGTTACCTTTATCAGTTTCAAACATGTCAAATAAGATAATGCTTGACAACTCTGTATTTATTGAAATCTAATAACCTGAAGTAAACAGGAACAAGCAGCATACTGATATTCTTCTATTTTTTGAGTATCTAAAATTCGAAATTTGATAATTTTATTTTTACAAAGCCCCATTGATTCTTAGAAAAAAAGTATTATGTCATTGAAAGAAGATTTGTTTGCTCTATCAAATGTCCTAAAAATATCCAAAGGAATCCATTTAAAATTCTTGAATTAAGTCAATTTTCGGTAAAACCAGTGATATTCAATTGTTTTTCCATGAACTACAAGGCAGAGAATATGGTTCAGCATTTTCAATAACACACTTCCTGATAATCTTAGATGTTTCATTCTAGAACTAGAATATTTTGATTTTTATGAAATCCTTTTTGGAAAGGTTTGTAGAATTTGAAGAATCACTGGCTGTTGCATTAGATCAAAAGCATAGGACCGTGTTTCCCACCATGGGCATCTTCAGAAAGTACAATCTTATGGCTTTGATCAATTTTTTATCTTTTACCGTTTAAGAAATCTAAACCCTGTATATTGATTCCTCTGAAGTCTGAATCATATCATAAAATCATCCACATGTTCATACCAATACAACAATTATTGTTTTATGAGTGAATGATTATGGATTAAATTATCTAGGTTATAAATGAAACTTTCAGCAAGTAAAGGGCACAGTGGATTTTTCATTATCCAACCTTGTGAAGTGGTGTATATTTTGTTATCAAATTGACAGATGGTCTAAAATCTCTTGTTTAGTAATTGTAACGTGGTATTTATATGTAAAATATCATCAACTAAAATTATAGTGTCTTTGGGAGATATAATTGGAAAATGGTTCTAATGAACTCACTAAAAGAAATCTTGGTTTTTGCATGTTTCATCGAATGCTAATCTACAGGGTGCGGCAAAACAATCAGTGCAGTTTTGAAGGGGTATAATAAAAATTGGAACAATTATGAAAAAGTGGTTTATTCTGTTTGAGACAGTACAACATCCCATTTTTTCACTCAGGTTTTGAAGATCACATCAGCAAGATGATGTCCAATAGAAACGATGCACTGATGTAGGCAATTTCTGAAGCTTTCAGCTGCGTTCTCGCACACATTCTGGTTCAAGAAAATTTTCGAGCGTGGAAACATAACCCCGTGCGGTGACGTTTGTTGTACGCCCATCCTCCTTAAAAAAGTACGGTCCAATAACTATTGGTCAATGGAGATGTCTCTCGTGAATTTGTCTTGGGTTATTGTCCGACGAATAATAGAAATTTTGTTTGTTGACTGCTCCAGACAGATGGAAGTAGGCTTCATCACTGCTGAAGAACGCTGACCTTGGTGGGATACGGTCTAAGATTTCTTGGGCGCGATTCACACGATTCAGAAAGCCTTGAGGCATCAACTCCTGAACCACCATAATCTTATAGGGATAAAAGGATAAATCTTTATGCAAGATTCTCCTTAAAGAGCGGTCAGACATGTTCAATGCAGTTTCCTTGCAGAGCAAATTGGTGATTGTTCGACAACTGCTCTTACTAGAGCGACATTTTCGGGGGTTTTCATTGTTTAGGATCTTTCCATACTCCTAGGCCTTGTTGTTGAACCAGTTTCCAATGCACGAACCCAACTCGCGATAATATTGCTGTGCGGAACGGGATCACGACGTGGAAATCGTGGAATGTTGAAGTGCCGTCGGAATGTCCGCTGAGTGAAGATGAAAGAACGACCCAATGAGTCCTCTCCCAGGTTCCCATCCCCATCACATCGGATGAAGGAGCCCATCGCAATTGCACTCTTTGTTTTGCCGCATCCTGTATTTGCCATTTTATTTGGTTGTTTAATGAACATTCCATCGATGACGTCACAGTGAAAAAGTCCACTCGTGATAAGTAATATGTCATTGAAAGAAGACATGTTTGCTCTATCAAATGTAAAAATATCAACAGGAATCCATTTGGAACTCTCGACCTAGGTCAATTTTCGGTAAAACCGGAAGTGATATTCAATCGTTTTTCCGTGGAAACTATGGGTTTCAAGGAACTATATCCTTGATTCAATTGTCAAAAGTCTAACATAAAAAACTACTGAATGGCGAAATTACTCATATTTTCTTTATATTATGTTTTTTTCTTCAGCAGGTATTAGATGTTGTTCTTGCACTGCCAGCACCTGATAATACAGGAACCACTCCAAAAATTTTAGTCACCCAAGCTTCAAGCCTTCCAAGAGCTAGAGGCCTAGCTAATTTGGGCAATACCTGCTTTTTCAATTCTGTCATGCAGTGTCTTGTCCAGACACCTTATTTATTAAAGCTACTACAAGAAACGTCAGAAGATGGCCAATATTTTCGATTGCCTGGTGGTAAGATGAAACAAGAGGACAACAACTTCATGGAACTAGGACCCCTAGATGGTAAAATCCCATGAATTGAATTACCTGCAGTAATATCACAAAGAAGTTAGAATATATTGAAAAACAGATATTTGAGAACTTGTTGCTATTAAGTTGCTTAATGGCCATAATGGCAACAAGTTTGAGTAAACGCCTGTGGAATTATTTTCTGATTTGTTCTCTTCTCTCTTCAATTGTGTCACCAGACTAACTCTTGATATAAACAATTGAATTTGAGATCAAAGCGTGGGGTTCTCATATCCGATGATGGATGGCGTGAATAATGGAGCATTTCAAAATGCGTTTTGAATCCTAGGAAATTCATCAATTCTTAAGGGAGCCTACATCTCGGCCTACATGTTTCTATGAGTATTTTTTGAAAAAACAAACTATTAGACCAAGAGCTCGCGTGAAAGATGGTTAAAGTAAATATTCCAAAGGTATGATGGTTTTGATTGAAGTACCCCACAATAGTAAGTATAACACCACCCGTCTGCCACCTTCAAGTGGGGGCATTAATTCAGGAGGGGGTGTTGAAAGGTCAATTTTTTTGTCAATAGATTAAAGTAGTTCTTCCAGATTGGAAATCTGACCAAATGTTCCCTTTGTCATTGTGAATAAAACTGTGCTTCCAGATTTTGAGCAGACGGGGGCGTTATCGTAGCAGACGCCGTCAAAAATATGTCAAAAATGTCAAATGACAAAAATGACTATTCCAACTTGCATTTTGCATCAAATGATAGACAATGGAAATATCTACAAGTTTTCTTGAGAGAAAAAATCAGCAGACGGCGGTCCAGAGCCGGCAGACGCCCATTTGTCATGTGAACTGGTTCCCTTATTTTTTTTCTGGACGATATCTGAATGATGTTATTCCAGGCTGAAATTCAGTACATTTGTTATGTTTTTGGTGGTGAATATCACTGTGATTTCAGATTTTGAGCAGACGAAGTCGTTATCGAAGCAGACGCCGTCAAAAGTATGTCAAAAATGTCAAATGACAAGAATGAATATTCCAACTTGCATTTCGTATCAAATGATAGACCATGGAAATATCCACAAGTTTTCTCGGGAGAAAAAATCAGCAGACGGCGGTCCAGAGCCTGCAGACGCCCATTTGTCATGTGAAGTGGTTCCCTTATTTTTTCTGGACGATATCTGAATAATGTTATTCCAGGCTGAAATTTGGTACATTTGTTATGTTTTTGGTTGTGTATATCAATGTAATTTCAGATTTCTAGCAGACGAAGTCGTTATCGAAGCAGACGCCGTGAAAAATATGTCAAAAATGTCAAAAATATGTCAAATTTGTCAAATGACAAGAAAAAATATTTCAACTTGTATTCCGCATCGAATGATAGAGAATTAAAGAATCTACAACTTGCCACTGTAGAAAAAATCATAAGATGACGGCACAGAACCGGCAGACTCCATTTGTCTTGTTAAATATCTCTAATAATTTTTCGGACGATACGTAAGCGACGTCATTTCAAGCTCAAACATGGAGCATATGGTATTTTTTTGTTTGAAACATTCACAATATTTTCAAATTTTGATGAAAGTAAAAGTCTTCCTCTTCTTATATGCAGAAAGGTTTTCAAATTATTGAACATTGAAAAATAAATAGGATACACATCCAGACAAACAGAGTTTAATTAACTAGAACTAGATGAATATTATAGATTTAATTAAAGATGAACATAACTTTTATAATGAAATGTAGAAGATTTAAGAAAAAATTAACAGAACAAACAGAACATAACAAATGAAACTCATGGAAATATGCCATTAACTACTACTCATCATCGTCGCTACTGTGAGCGTCTTCAGATTCAACTTCACTTGAATCATTGGCAGCTACTAGTACTAGTAGTACTTACATTTAGGTTATGCGGAAATTGTTCGCTCTCGAACCAATTCATTTTATATTCGCCGTCTTCTTTAACCCATCCATTTCCTTCCGGGTTGAAGAAATTTGGTTTCCCACCAAAAGCAAATTTCCAAATAGCTGCGATTTGATTTGTACGTCGTATTTTGCAAATCAATGTATCAAGGAGGGATACGACTGGCCTCAAAATTCTTGATACCCCCGAACAGAGATTGATTCGATTTTGGCTTGTAGCAATCCAAGAAAATTTCGAACCGAGCCTTATTGACGCTGGATAATTTTCGGTTCCCATAAATTTCGCAAACGTATTCTTCTATATTTGGAGAAATAGAACATTATCCAATTATCGAATTACTATTGAATATCGATGCATACCTTCAATTGTTTCATGAGACAGCGTTTCACTCCCTCCCATTCTACTGAAAGCTTCTTGGAACTTTTTGCTCTTCTCTAGTGGTTTGAAAGGAGTCAGCTCTGCTTTTCTGGCAAATGAGGCTGTGTGGTCATCACAACCTGTGAAGGCGTGAAATGCTGGTAGAGCATTACACACACTGGTACCCAGAGTGAATGCGATTTTATTGATGTCGACCAATCTCAGGTTATTCTTTGACAAAGTACCACTTTCTGTTAGATGTTATTATGTTTATTCATGTTATATAACCCTCTGTATAATATAATATATAATCATGATCATGTCTGTAGATGATAACAGTTGGAAAAGCTTGTTAATACTTCTGTCAGATTGAGGGAATTGTTAATAGAATATATTATTTTCGAATACCTACCGTTGTATAACTTATAACACATTCCATCCATATTTGAAGTGATAAAGCCATATTTTTGCTGCAAAATTAGGTAACATGATTGACCAGTACATTAAATTTAGAGTTATCAATTTGAACTCACCAAGAGGCAAGAAGCTCTCTGGAACACACAAACACAAAATCTTCCAATAACAATCGTTACAATGTTTTTGATGTCGAAGAAAATTGAGCAATGCTACCACTATTTTGAATCAACGACCTTCACACGAGAAGTACATACAGGGCTAGTTTTATTAATGTGAAGCCCCCTTCATCTTCTTTGTTCTTTATCCATTCGAGAAGATTCAAAACTGATTTTCTCACGATATTTTATATTGATTCCAATCATATTAAGAGCATGTGGCAATATCTCTTCAAATATACAGGGTATACAGAAATATATTGATTTTTGTATATGGAATGCATTGTATATTTTGATAGATGATGATCCTCCTATATATATATATATGTTTGAAATCAGGATGATTTGGGGAATTCAAATTTATCGAAATATACAGGGCGTTTCATTTGAAAAATATATTTATTTTTGTATACCCTGTATATTTGAATAGATATTGCATCATTGTCAAAATGAGTGAAAACTGTTTGAAAAATTGTATAAAATCAATTTCAAAATTTTTCGAATGGGTGGAAAACAAAAAAGATAGAGGGGGGTTCACATTTATAAAACTAGCCCTGTACATTAATTTTCTAGTGTCCGTTCGTGAAAACAAAAACGAATGAGAAACACAATTCACACCCCACTCTCCAGAGCGTCGCACGTGCAGGGTCGTCTTCGAAGCACCGATGATTCAGTAATAAAGTTATCTACAGAAAATGTTTTGAATACGTCTTTCTCAAAACAGATAGAGTAGTAAGTGAATATTTCATTCCATTTGTATACAGATATAGATTGTAATGTAAGTTGAGAGATATTCAACAAGACAAATGGGCGTCTGCCGGTTCTGTGCCGCCCTCTTATGATTTTTTCTTCAGAGGAAAGTTGTAGATTCATTGATTCTCTATCATTTGATGCAAAATACAAGTTGGAATATTTATTCTTGTCATTTGACATTTTTGACATACTTTTGACGGCGTCTGCTTCGATAACGACTTCGTCTGCTCAAAATCTGAAATCACAGTGATATTCACAACCAAAAACATAACAAATGTACCGAATTTCAGCCTGGAATAACATCATTCAGATATCGTCCAGAAACAAAATAAGGGAACCAGTTCACATGACAAATGGGCGTCTGCCGGCTCTGGACCGCCGTCTGCTGATTTTTTCCTCCAAGAAAACTTGTAGATATTTCCATTGTCTATCATTTGATGCGAAAACCAAGTTGGAATATTCATTTTTGTCATTTGACATATTTTTGACGGCGTCTGCTACGATAACGCCCCCGTCTGCTCAAAATCTGAAAGCACAGTTTTATTCACAATCACAAAGGGAACGTTTGTCTAGATTTTCAGTCTGGAAGAACTACTTTAATCTATTGACAAAAAAATTGACCTTTCAACACCCCCTCCTGAATTAATGCCCCCACTTGAAGGTGGCAGACGGGTGGTGTTATACTTACTATTGTGGGGTACTTCAATCAAAACCATCATACCTTTGGAATATTTACTTTAACCATTTTTCACGCGAGCTCTTGGTCTATATGGAATTTGGACAGGAAGTTGTACCCGGACATACTAATCTAAACTTTCAATTATAGTCGGGGCTTGTTTTGCGAAACCCAAATCCTAGAAACATTTCATGTACCAAGTCGAAATTCCAACCGGAAGTGAAATATTCAAGATGGCGTCCAAAATACCCCTAGAATAAAATTTTCTACGACTGAGGTGCCGATTTCTATGGTTTCGGGGGTGTAGAACACGATGAGACACTCAAAAAATGATTTGGAGCATTAAAAGTTCTTCAAACGCTCAAATTTTGACGAAATGGGCCAAAATTCCAAAAAACTTCTGAAAATGTGTTGTATATGCTTGCATACGTTTTCGAGGGCGCTTAATGCGCTTATTAGCTCAAAAAAGCATTTGAACATTGTCCAAACCTTCATTACTTACATTTTGAAAGAAAATAATTCACTATAAGTAGTCTTCTTCATCATTTTCTACTCCATTCATGCACTTTGCCTTGCACTTGCACATCTTGGTGCACGGCACCCTCGGCGGCTCCCTGAACTCACTCTGCTTTGTGCCGCAGAGCCCCTCGCTGCCACAAGCGCCAAATTCGGGACATGACTTGGGAATAGGTGACAAAGTCAACAAGATTGGGACATACCATCCATCAACAATTTTCCAGCCGAAATTAATCGGGTTTGGTAAATCAGGATACTGATCATGGGCGTTAATCCACGCTAGTACCTAAAAAGAAAACAGAATTGATTTTTTCTATTTTCTAGTTTTTTTCTTGTTAATTTTACTTGGGAGTGGCACCAAAGAATGTGTTGACGGAGGGCATCAGTGGTAGGTGGCAAAAACTCTAGCATTCGCACTGTCCCAAAAATTGCAACACGGGCTGCAACCTTAAATAAAAATGGTATTAGTATCAAAACGGCTAACAGTTTTTATTTACCATGTGTCTTAGGAAAGGAACGCAACAAACCTTGTATAAAGCTTGCATCACAAACTGTTCAACCAAACGGATATCCTCGGGGGCTAGATCAGGAGTCTTTCCAAGCTGACTGAGGAGTTTACAGTAGTTTTTTTCTATGTACTGCTTCCACCGTCCTGTTTTTGTGACTGACGCTAACTTAGATGTAGTATCACATCCTGTGATTGTGTGGAAAGCCATCAGGTTTTTGATCTGTTGTGGTGTGAGCTTCTTACATAGTTCGTGAATTGGAATATACTTTCTGTCTCGGGAAGTACCACACATCACCCAGCATTCCTTGCATTTCATTTTTTCAAAGTGATAGATGAATAATAAAATCACATCGGTGTCTCTAACAGAAACAACAATAGCCTCTCTTTCGGTTTTTATCGCATGGAGCACCTTCCTGGTATCAGCCTCTTCATGGTTTGAAAATAAGTGTGTAAGGTATCTTTCTTTGTTTGACTCGGCATGCGTCTCATCCACAAAACCACCAGCCAGAATGACTTCCAGGCTGCCAAAGTCATAATTCATGGCTTCTTCGCTCAGGAAGCGCGCGAGGTCGTCCTTGTTTTCTGACAGGGCGAGGAAGCTGCTCCAATTCTTAGGTAAGGGAACTCCCTGGTTCTTGATTACTCTTCATACAGGAGCGAAACCCTTTTCTCTGTGTTTCCTTGTATCTGCCTTCACAGAAAGATCGCGGTATCGATCAAATACCACGTGAACTTCATTATACTGGGAACTGTAGGCTTCAATTTGCTTGTTGAAAGCACATGCAATATCACTAAATTATTTCCCTATGAGTGTTCTTACCAGTGCTTCCACGAATGCCATCTCATAAATTATAAGACAAGCATAATTTTTCTTGATTGCTATTGAACTTGGGCAGTCTATATTTTTAGTTATTTCCTTCACAAGAGAGCCCTGTTCAGCAGGTCTTAAGTCGTCATTCATAAGAGCCAACGATATAGGGACATTGCACAGCTCATGTCTGAGAATAGAATTCAAGTCTACTTTTCTACCTGCATCATAAGCTACCACAAGAGTGTGGAGAAATTCTCGGCCGTACTTATTCCCACCGCGGCCGATTTTTCTTTGTGAAGGTCTTGTAAAGTTGGTGAATTATTTATTGGCATAGTTGTATGGTAACTTTATTTTGGCTTTCCAGTTTCAGGATCCTTTATGAGTCGTTGTGAAACAAACGCATAAACGTGTTCGTTTCCACGTTTCTTGGCACATAGAAGAGCTTCTATTATTTTACTTGTGCCCCTATCTTTCGTAGCGATGTTACACACAACTTCGGATACTTCAGGAGACAGCAGCTCCATTGTTTCCATTGTACGTAGTAAAGCATCTTCATCAGAGATATCTCTCGTGCGACGGGAATTTCTTTCTTCCTTGAAAGCGCTTGAAAGTGTCTTTTCTCTGCATGGCGCCAAATATTAAACAGATGATGCGTAGAAGAATGGCGGTGAGAGAATTATGTACTATAGTCGCGCGTCATCGACAATTTTCAGTCAGTTTATTGAACAGTTTATTGAACCCCTTCATATTATGAAGAGCATTAAAATGTTAGAATTTAATGGACGTTGAATGTACCAAATTATTTTTAGAGGGCGAATACGCATTCAGCGCCCTCCAAAACATATTGAACACGCTTTCAAAGGTCTTTTTTTATTTTTCTCAAAATTTGATCATTTGATGAATTTTTAATGCTCCGAATTGTTTTTTAAGTGTCTCTTCGTGTTCTACACCCCCGAAAACATACGGCATTTGATTTTGTCGCCTTCAAACTTTAAATTCTCTACTCATCAGTCGGGAAGTTTGCAGTTGGAAGTTCCTATAGTTTGAACTGGAAATGTAATTCTCCTTCATAATTGAACTTGGAAATACCGACTACAAAATCTCAATTTTATTTCTTTGAAGTTGGAAATTTCTAGTTTGTAGTAGGAAATCTCTAGTTAGGAGTGAAAAAAAAACAATTATTCACCATGAAACTATTATTTGTAAAACTTTCTCGAACTAAATTTTGAACCCCCCACCCCCCATGGTCTTCCCTGTATCATTCATTTGTCATAAAAAAAATACTTGAGTTTCTTCATTGAGGCAGATCATGTAGTACCTACTTCTTTATTTAATACAAGGTTAAAATCATTCAATTATTTCAGCTCAGGTGAGAAATATCTTTCTTATTTTTTTTCCAATATAAACCTTTTTAGGAACCCTTGAGAAATGGAAACCTCTTACGGCTACACTTGCTGACACTCTGAGAGAACTGCAGAGCGGCAGAGCGGAGGTGTATAATCCGAGAATGCTCTTTTCACGACTCACTTCCAAAATGCCTCAGTTCGGAGGTGGAGATCAACACGATTCTCACGAATTGTTGAGGCATCTTCTCGAAAGTGTACGGGAAGAAGACCTTAGGAGATACAAAATAATCATCCTCCAGAAGTTGGGTGAGTAATGAGTGACTTCATTTGTTAGGACATTTACCATTTTAACATGTGATTGACTAATCAACGAACACAAAGTTTTGAAATGTTTAATATTAATCATAATAAGACACGAAACTTTGACATTTGCAGACAAAATGTTTGTTAGATCAATCTAGATGAACCCCGTACCTATTTCGTCTCCTCCAATCCTTACCGGTAATGTGATTGATGTAGATGCTACATATCTGAAGTATGTTATTGTTATATATATAGTATTGCAGAAAACTCACTTTCAAGATACTGACATATTTGTAGTAAAATATTTTAACAATTAAATAAACAACAAAAAGTCATCAGGCATGGATGGTCTATGTGTAAAAATATTTCAAATTCTATCTGACTATGTTCTTCTCATTCTTAGCAATTAAAAAATCTTTCAGTATGGGAGAATTTCCACTCTGCTTGAAACAAGCTGTTGTTGTTCCCTTGTATAAAGGAGGTGATACAGATGAACCCTCAAATTATCGAACGATTTCACTTTTGTCAACATTATCGAAGATTACTAAGAAAATAGTTGAACGTAGGATGATGAAACAACTAATAAAACATGATATTATAAGCCATTAAGAATACAAATGACGCCTTTTTCTTGTTACTTGAAAACACTTTGATGACCATTAATGATGAAGAAGCAGCTGCAGCAGTATTCTTTGACTTTTCGAAGGCGTTGGATTGCTTGAGTCATGAAATACTGTCATATAAACTGAAGTTTTATGACTTAAGAAATGCAACATTAAGCTGGTTCCACTAATACCTGACGGAAAGGAGTCAATTAGTTGAAATAGGCGAGAACCACTTCAACATAGGGAAAGTCTCAATGGGAGTACCGCAGGGATCAGTTTTGGGCCCTATTCTCTTTCTCCTATATATAAACGGCTTAGCCTCCATTCACATTCATGGTAGATTTACCATTTTCGATGATGACAACCATTATAAATATGGCGTGGTAGGGATATTAAACAACTGAAGAAAACAATTACTTTGGATATACCACAAATCAAGCAATGGCGTGACTCCAGTAAACTCTGCTTCAATTTGAATAAAACGAAGTTGATTACAGTCAAGTTCGATTATGATGATTTATACTTGGTGGACCATAATAAAGCTGAAACTTGATGAACATGTTATTTTTTTGAATAAAATAATTGCCTCAGGTTGTTTTGTGAAGAAAATCGCATCTAAGGAACTGAATACATCCTTAGCCAGAATGGTATTTTTCTCCTTGCTCTTGTCTGTACCATTAGATATGGTATTGTTTTTTTGGGTTCATGTAGTGAATATTCATTCAAATCTGATTTTTTTTACTGCAGAAAAAAGCAATTCGGTATCTGGCACAGTATCGTGATTGTTGCAAAACTCTTTTTATAAATCAATAAATTCTGACACTGACTTGCTTATTTATTCTGGAAACTGGAAGACTCGTTCATGAGAAATATAGTAAGACTCTAAGTGAACGGAACTATCAAACAAGAAATGAAGGTTGTATTCCTTTATTAATACTTAAGTCAAATTTGTCAAAAAATTCTGTCATATGAGAGCAAAAAAATATATAATCATCTGCCAATAGTATAGTATTGAGTCACTGGATGGTGTTAGTTAAATAAGAGTTCGGACACAGATATGACAACTGTTAGTGTTTTTGAATGTTTAGATTCATTAAGTTACACGCCTTGCATTGTGACACGAGACCGTAATCGTTCCGTGCTTTTTCATTCAAAATTGTTTGAATTTGACAATAAATATTATGAACGTCAGAATTGAAATATAATTTCATAAACTTTTGAGAAGAAAGCATGAATGACAATTTCCTGCTGTGTAATGAATTGTGGGAATTCTGAAGAGAATGGATTTCATTTATTTAATCCGCCAAAGGAAATATCAACCTCATTCTTTTATGAGAGGAATAATTTATGAATAAACGGCCTGGATGGTAAATTAATTTGAAGACAAGCAGAATTTGTACGGTACATACATTAAAATGCACTTTTTATAACAGCAGATTAGAATGAAACTACAGTCTGTCCAAGATAAGGTTGCACAGCATGGGGATCTTGGAAACGGTAGGAGATACAAAGTCGGTTACAAAAGTTGCGCATTCGGAGACTCATACCAACAGCTTTCGAAAATTTTCAAAATTGTTTTTAGTTTTCCAGTTATATCGAAGAAAGTGAATTTTTGGAATATCAATTTAATTTTTTTCTCCGTTATTATTAGAGATACAGAAAAACTGAAAATATTTTTTCGTAGCAACTTTTGATGACGTTCAACGTGGTGTTACCGATTTTTTCATGCGACGTTTCGTATTCGTAGAACCATCATCAACTTTTGTTTTTTAAATATGGTCCTCATAGTTTTTCTACAGATGCTGAAAGCTTTTTTTATTCTGAATGGGGTTGTACACTCTAATCGAATTCACGCCACATACCTATTTTATATTGATCAGTCCGTGTGTGAATAGTATTTGATGCTATCAGTTGTTATTTAAAATCATCCAAAATACGTTTTTTCATTAATTGAAAATCAGAACCTTCGAAAAACGCCAGGTTTCGTGACGTCATCAACCTGCTGGCACGGAGAATAGTCATCGTTGCCAAATTAATAGCCAGTAATTACCTATATGAGATTCAATATAGTTCAGTGCCATTGACAGAGTATTTACGTTCGCAAAAGACAATGTGGCCACCTGGTTCCTGATAATCACTTGATGAATACTTATATACCTTGCAAGATAATGATTCAGTGTCAGTAATAATATCCTAATATTCGTTATAATGATCATAATTTTATACAAACCCAAACTTTTTTGTGAGTCTGGCAACAGCGCAATCGTCGAAATATCAATAGAGAAGAAGAATTATTCTAACCTAACCTAGCGTAGGCCGTCTGGTTTGTAAACAATAACAAATCAAAGACACGTTTGTTTACTTGAGGACTTTGTGGGTTTTGGAAGCCTTTTAGAGTATTATTTTATTGAGTCAGATTAAGTTTTGTTTAGATTAATTATAAATAATGAAAACTCACTGTGATTTTGAAAAGAAAATGCCAGTAACATGTATTGTGGTGGGACCATTTGATGTTTATTCCCTTTCCTACTGTGATACCGTGAAAAACTCTGTGCATTACTCACAGATGAAGGATCTATCAAGAAAAATAAGGGAAATGTGGATAGCAGCCATCAAGAGAAAGAATCAACAACAGAAACATTCATAATAAACCAGAGGATATGTAGCAGACACTATTTTCATAACAGGTACTTGAGAAAAAGGATTTCAATATTATTCATATGTACCTACGTACTCTAGAACTGATGAATTTAGTATTTCATGCTATTGAAAACATATATCATTTTTCTTTTTGATGAAAGAAGCCAATACTCATTACCTTTGATGGCCCTACATGGTTTGGAAACATCATGTTTTCAATACACACATAATTTATTTACCTTGTAGGAGAACCTAGTGCTTGAAAGATGAAAATCATCCAGCTTGGGCAGTATAATATGGATCATCAATCTCTAGCCCATTCAAAACACAAGACTGATGTGGATCAAAAACTGAGAGCAGAGAAAAGGTTTAAATCAGAAATCCACTAATAAAGCATCTGAGCCAAGAGACCTGGTATGTTCCCAAGAAAACATCTAATTACCTACTTCACTTTAATCATGAAGCCTTGCTTTATTAGTAAACTAGGTATATTGATAAATGTAACATTTTATATTCATTTCAGTGTAATGAAGAAAGTGTCTGGGAGATGAAGACATAGTAGAGATAATTGGTGAAAAAGAGGTGAAAATCTACAATAGATTCCATATTATACTTTTACAAATTATAGTTTGTTGTGTTTTATTTTTATTGATTATAAATGAAAAACAAATATAGTAAGTACTTATATCAAAATTGTAATATTCAATTAATGAAAAATACAGTATTATTCCACAGTAGGTAATGTATATTACAAGAGATCTACATAGGTCATGAAAAAATCTCCATAGAACATTATAGGTATTCAGTGATCTGATTGAAACAAAAATGAACAATGGTAGAATGATATATTATAAATAGGTAGATATTTTTTTATAGAACTTGTTAAATCAAAATTCACAAAATCATGCCAACTTTGGTGTACCTAAAATATATACACATTAAAAATGGAACCATTTGATTTCACTTTATCACTGTCACAACTATTCATAAGCACTAGAACACTTATACCCATGGACATATAAAAAAAAAAACAATAGTTCATTTTTGCATGTACTCTTCTAATAACTCTTTCAACATGAATTCTCAGAGATGCTATTATTTTGCTATTTTGTACTTCTTGTGGTGTAGATTTCATTTGTGATGATACACTTGGTGGCCTAACTAACTCACAACCTTTCTCAGTGTGGCAATATGTTTAAAGCCTCTATCAGCCAAAATAGATACATTTGTGGGTAACTCATTCAAATTGGTAGATTTTTTCACAATCTCTGTATCAGATATCTTTCCTCCATACCTATGCTTTAGGTATGAAATTGAATTGAATCCATTTGGAGTACAAGATAAAAGGAATGTCACTGTATTACAGCTTTTATATTCAGACCAGCTATTTGCCTGTATAACTGGATCTGGCTTCTCAATTTCAACTTGAAAACAGTCTATTATGCTCTGAACATTACTGTACCTAGCTCTAAATGTGATTGGTGTATTTTTTTGAATGTCTATTGTCTATGTCAGGCTGAAATACAAAATTCTGCAATACATCTGCCATCTTTGGTAAAAATTCTTTGGATATTGCTAATACTAACTCCAAAATCAATAGCTAATCTTTGGTGTTGATCATTGAATTCTCACTTTTTTCAAAGTAATCAGACACTCTTCACAAGAAATGCTTCCCTCTTCACAAATAAGATGTACTATTATATAAGTCCCTGGATTTCCAAGAAACAATCTTGATAAAGTTCTATTGCATAAATTTCAGTTCCTTTATAACTGGCTTTTGTATGTCTGTCTCTAATCTCCTCAGCAATCTCATCAAGATCAGTTGAACTGTTTAGCTCATATTTCCTTGTAGGAGATGAAAGAGATTCAGATATTGTATATGAACATGAAAATGAAGGTTTCATACAACAAGGTTTGATCACACTCTTCTCCCTCAACTTGATATGATTCATTGGTTGGGTACATCATGAAAAGTTTTATTTTCCATATTTACACCTCTACTTCTGAATGACCCTTTTATATTAGTCTGAATAACTATTTCTTCCTCAACCTCAATGATGTCAGGAACTGATATAGATGTATTTGCTACATTTTTGGATGATGAGGGTTCTGCACTTAGTTCTGCATAATCTGATAGCTGTATTTTTCGTTCCTTCCAAACATTTTCCAGCAACTCTGCTTTCCTTTTGTTTCCCTTATCAGTCAGTACACTTCTTTTGTATGTCGTATGTGGGTGGCGGTACATTCAAGAACTTGTGTGGCACTGCATGAGGTTTCAGCTTGAGTGTTGTTCCAATGATTTTGGAAAACATGCAATTAACTAAATTGTCTTCAAGCTGGAATATCGGAAAGTGACAAGGATATCACATTTCACAATGGGAACCCACATTTAAATGATCCTCACAGCAGTAGAGGTCATGTAATGAAATAAATTCCAGATGCACTGCCAGTTTTTCCTGCGTTGGGTACTAGCCGGGACGGTCGAAAACAGTTTTTCAGGCGAATTCTCACTACTATTTTGACAAATCGGTATAAAATATACGACTACCATAGGTTAGGTTATACGCAATCTTCTTCTCCAATTTTAGTATCATTACCAAAATATTCATCTCACATATTTTGATAAATGACAATCAGAAATATTTTTGCACTTGTCTAAGAGAGAGAATGGATATGTATGTCGAATCTTATATGAATTGTTCACCGGCTGCCTACGTCACGCGCTTTCCCGCGTTTTTCATGTTACGAAATATCGTGTATTTCAATAATTATTTAAAAAATGTACAGAGCTCTGGGGAAAAAACGGTTTGCGACAGTGAACTAGTTAGGGTTAGTACTTCGAAATAATGAAATAAAATTTTTCACTGAAACAGGCCCATTCAATTATGTATTATACAAGGTGATTTGAATGTGTTTCGACCTATTTCTATCCATCATCAATGTTTTTTCGAAATTCCAAAAGAAAAATGCCATCAGTTCCACTTATTTCTGATCATTTAGTGTCAAACATTGATGGATTAGTTATTCAATATTTAAAAGTGAACTTAACTTTGACAATACCAACAGAAATATTCATAACAAATGTTCAAAATGATAACTATTATTTTCTAAATAAAGATATCCAACGAACAGCGAGGCTCTGGAATGAATACATTGCCAAGGGAGGTGTTCCCCGAGGCATATAACCTCCAGAATTTCAAGAAGAACACCAATTCCTACTTTATTTCCCCTGGTTCTCACGATGTTCTCTGAACATTACAGGATATCCCTTTTTGTGGGAACCAGAACATAAAAAAAAGCATTTCTGGGGTTATACTATTGAATGCCTCGATGACACTGTCCCTTATTTCTTCTTCATTATTAAAGTTATTTGCGTAAATGCGCATATGGTAGTGAGTACATTACTAGCCTACAAAACACAGCTGAAAAACTCTGAAAAGAGAGCTGATGGGCGGTGCCTGAAAAGGATGTTAGCCAGCTCTCTTGAGCGAACCACATCAGTCATTGAAAACACTTGGGGTTTGCAAAAAGGTCCCATTGAGGACTAGTTGCTGACGTGGAAACGTCCCCCACCAGTACCAGTACCAGTTTGCGTAACCAAAGTTTTTGATATATTCCCAAACAAAAAAATCCAGCGGTGTCAAATTAGGCGACCGCGCCGGCCAAGGGACTGTCGAATGTGTACCAATCCATTTTTGGAGCGCCATCTTGTTGAAACCAACAGTTCTCAACTTCCACAATCGGTAAATTATCCAGGGCTTCCTCAAGATGATTCTCAAGCAAATTTCTATAACGTTCGGAAGTCAATGTTTCATGGTAATTAAAAGGACCAATAATTCGTGTACCAAATATTGCAATCCACATCCACAAAGCCGAAACGGTGTTGGTGTCTCGTTTTTTTATATAAATGTTCATTTTCTCGTGACCAATAATGTATATTTTTTCTCTTGAAGATACTATTATAAGTGATTATGATTTTTCGAGGGAAATCTTCAAAATTTTGACATTTCAAAAATTGGTCGAAACACATACAAATCACCTTGTATAATACATGGTTAAATTCAAAATAAAAAAGCTTCCAGAATCTGTGAAAAAATCATCAGGACCGTATTTAAAAAACAAAAGTTGATGATGGTTCTACGAATACGAAACGTCGTATAAAAAAATCGGTATCACTACGTTGAACGTTATCAAAAGTTGCTATGAAAGTGTATTTTCAGATTTTCTGTGTCTCTAATAATAACGGAGAAAAAAAATATAGATATTCCAAAAATTCACTTTTTTCGATATAACTGAAAAACTAAAGAAAATTTTGAAAATGTTCGAAGGTTGGTATCAGCCTCCGAATGCGCAACTTTTTCCTGATTTCAACCGACTTCGTATCTCCTACCGTTTCCGAGATCCCCATGCTGTGCAACCTTATCTTGGACAGACTGTATTTTAGGCCAATTTCCAAACAGAAGATTTTCAGATCCGTTTGAGAGAATCTTCCATTCCATTCATTTACAAAACCGACTATTTGAAAAGAGAATCCATAATTATCATCACACGAAATGCAAAACAAAACTAGCATGGAGAAAGACGAATTGATTGCAAAACTACCTAATAATATTGAAAATTTGAGAACGAAACTGAGGAAATCTAGTATATTGCAACTTGATATATCATTGAATTGCGTTTTTAATACAGACTGAATTAGCTATAAGTATATGCATATGTGTCTATTTTGTCATTAAAATGTTACATGCATTCTTTTCATTTTTGTAACTGTTCAGCTAGAGCAGCGTGGGTAATTTTTTTGGCCAAGTATAAAAGTAGCAGAATCAAGATGAAATAAGTATAATTGTCTCATGTGATGCCTACGAATTTCATGAATTTCTGAGGTTCTTATCAAAACAAAATTGGATTTTTCAATTTTTTTTTAATAATATTATATGAAACTTAGAGTATTTATTTTATACAATTCATCCAATGAACATTTTTCTGTTATCGTATACAGATCATTTCTTGGGATATCAAATGAGAGGCGATACAATACTTTCAGAGATTTCTCATAAAGGGCAGATATCTTACTGAAATAATTTACTGAACAAGATCCCCAAACGTCTATCATATAGATAATACAACTGAATGAGAATGAAGTACTAGGTTTATGATTTTTTTATCAAGTTTAGGACATCTTCGCAAAGCTCCAATGATTGGAGATATTTTTTGTATCAGAACCTCTATATGCTTGTCCCATTTCAATTTTTCATCAATCCAGATAAAAACATACTATTGGTGTAGTTCTTTTCAATACTTGCAGAGAATTTGGAGATCGAGACTAATATTCTGTTTATTTTTCTGATTGAATATTATATATTCAGTTTTATTGGTATTAATTGATAAACTGTTTGAATAAAGCCATTTTTAATTTTTGTTTTCGTATAAAAGTACAGTATCATCTGCATATATAGTATAATTACATGATAATCCAATTTTAGAAATATTCTGAATATGTATTCTCAATACATCTAAAAGACCAATAAACTATCTATCTAATCTATCTATTTCAACATATGGCAACTGCGCCTCTGCTTACGAAATCGTGCCGTCAATTTTTATTTGCGGTAAGTTTCTAGCCGTTTGAAAATTACCGTGAAATGTGATTGAGTGATGAGTATATTAAAGAAATAGTCCAATAGCCCATTCATTTTATTATCACTTGAATGACCTCAAAAAAAATAGGATAAAATTTTGTATTTGGAGAACACTTACTCTAACTGACTCAACATTTCATGTTTTTAGACAAATTTATCCTGATTTTCTTCTTGTGATTTTATATTCAAACATTAGCTTAAGCTTGAGAATAATGTTATTGTTTTTAATACTACTTACTTTATACAAGCATCAGTTATTACTCATCATTGTCATATTTTTGATTTATAGGTTTGAGTCCCAAAACTGATCCAACAACTGTAGAGGGAGATACAAAAAAAATTATCAAGTTTTATGGACAACAAGCTTCGGAAATGCTCTTACCAACTGAACAGGTCTTCAGAGGTGTCCTTGTGAGTACTCTGCAATGTCAAGATTGTGGGCATACCTCTCACCTGGATGAGTTTTTCTTGGATTTGAGGTAAGATTTTCAACTGGAAAGTTCAGGGTGTCGGGGATGTCTTTGTGTGTGTTAATATGTGCCTCTCATCAGGAAACAACTTTCTATCCAACAAGATATTTCTGGTCCAACATTAACTTCCTGTAAGCCTTATCCATTAGCTGACACTAGGTTTTTAAGACTATGTTGCATAGCAATAATTTGATAGTGGATAATAATATACAAGGTAGAGGTTGAATCTCACAATACAGATGCAAATATATGCGTATGTCAGAGGTAATTGAATATAAAATGATTTGTCAGGTGAAGAATTATTATAAAAAATACCTTTTTACTTTATTATTTTTTAGAATCAGCGCTAGTAGAGTTGATGAAGAAAAATGCGTCACTATTTTACTGTATATTTTAAGAAGATTCCCAAAGTAACATGTCCAGTTTTCAATGCTTTTGCGCGATATCTCAATTATCTTTGGAGATAGAGTGTTGCGGTTGTCACATTATTGCCTTACTTTTTTGTGAAACAAATAATGCCGCAAACAGAATGTTTAAAAAGTAAAAGATTGACGTGTATTTTAAATTTTCTAGAACCAACCATGAATTTATACAAACCTAGAGATATTTATTAGATCTAATATCACTATTCAAATTTAAAATATATTGTTTTATTCAATTTGTCTTGAATGAATTGAAAATTTCAAATATAAATTTCAATGAAATTAATTCATTACATAATCATGAAACAATACAATCAAATTTACTAATAGCAAATACATATAAGTCAAATATTGGCAAACAATCCATTTTTCTTTCTGGAATCATTCTATATAACTCATTTCCAAATGGATTGAAAAATATACAGGAAGCAACTAGATTTAAAAGTAACTTGAAAAAATATCTGCTTCAGAGACTTTGATAATCCCATTTCTTATTTGAATACTGGATAATGGATAAGTTAGGTATTGCATGATTATTTGCATTTTTTTGTTTGCTTCTTATATTCTATAATCATTTTGTATGTAGATTGTAGATTGTAGATGGGTCGTATAGGCTGGGAGACCTCTCGATTACTGCGACCTAGAAGATCTATTGTGATTACCCCTATCTAGTTTTGGTCCTCTAACTCTAGACTTCTGATGAAGCCTGCGCTTTTCCTGACGGTTGAATTTTCCACTTCAGCAGGGGTGAGATAGACCTGTTCTAGGTGGTTCAGCCTTTGGCGGACTAATACTACACATGAGCAAAGTATGTGTTCCGCGGTTTCGGTCGCATTGTTACAAAAGCGGCAAGTGTCAGTCTCCGCCAGGCCCATCTTTTTGAGGTGGTACCTCAGAGGGCTGTATCCTGTGAGAAAGCCTGTGATAAGCTTTAGCCCTGGTTTGCTGAGGCTGAGTAGCTCTTTAGCTCAGTTCTGCGAATGGTTGATGAACCTTTTTGCTTGTCGTTGACCTGGAGTTGCTCTTCGACTTTTTACATTTCTTCCCATTTACTGAGTTCTCCCTTTAGGTGACATTTGCTTATCCCACAAAAAGGCTCAGGACCAAAAAGTGCAGATGCTGCACCTTCTTTTCTTGATTCCTTCATGCCCTGGAACCCACATAAGTGTGACTTTGTTGCTTTTTCCCAGTTGCATGATTGTTTCAAAGCAGTTCCATGTAATCTTTGATGTGAAAACGAATGATTTTAGGGCTTTTAGTGCGGCTTGGCTGTCTGAGCAGATATATGTTATGTTGGCACCCCTCAGACCTTTGCTCAGGCACCTTTGGGCGCAAAGGTTGGGGGAGTGACCTAAGGCTTCAAATAGCCTACATCCGGGTCCATATACACCCGCGCCTACCCCTTCTTCCATTTTCGAACCATCGGTGTACCAAACAAGGGACCCTCTGTCCAGCTGAGGCTCAGCGGAACCGTACCTAGGGCGGCGTTTTATAACCACTTCAAAGGTATGATCGAAACTGAGCCTGGCTGGCATTATGTCCGATGGTTTGGTTGCAGATTCCATTTGTACTTCTTGTAGAATGACGATGTGACCAGTGACATCACCTGGTCTGGCCAATTCAGTGGAGTTCAGTCTGTATGCACTGAGAGCTGCAGTCCTCTTGATAAAAATATGCAAGGGTAGTAGGTCAAGCATAGCTTCCATTGCAGTAGGGCACATACGCATAGCCCCTGTGATCCCAAAACACGCGAGTCTCCGGATTTTTTGCAGCTTAAGTTGTGCTGTTTTTTCCTTACTTTTGGTCCACCACACTAGAGAAGCGTATGTGACCATGGGTCTGACCACCGTGAGATAAGACCAGTAGATCATATTTGGTTTAAGACCCCACGTTTGGCCAAACATCTTTCGGCATATCCAGAGAGCTGAAATTGGCCTATCGACGATTTTGGACAAGTGTTGGTTCCACGTGAGTTTCTTGTCTAGGATTACTCCTAGATATTTGACCTCTTCGGAGAAATTGATAGGCGTCCCATCCATAATGGGTTCCTTTAACTTGATCTTCTTTCTTTTGGTGAATGGAACGATGACTGTTTTGCTTGGGTTGACATTCAAGCCCTCCTGAAAGCACCAGTCTTTCAGCAAGTTGAGTGCAGTCTGCATTAGGTTTGATAAAATCCTATCATGCTTGCCTCTTATTATTATGACAATGTCATCCGCATAGCCTTGAATATCGAAGCCAGCGGTGCTTAGTTTGTTGAGTAGGTTATCGACAACTATGGACCATAAAAGAGGAGACAGTACCCCTCCTTGGGGGCAACCTCTAGTGGCCTGTGCAGTTACCGAGCTGCTTCCCAGTGTAGCTTTTATTCTTCTACTCCTGAGCATGGATTGTATCCAGCCTGTTGTTAGGGCCTCGAGCCCCTTGATGGTTGTGGCTCGCTCTATCGATTCATAGGAAGTGTTATCGAACGCTCCTTCTATGTCGATGAAAGCACACAGAGCAATTTCTTTATCTACCTGTGCCTTTTCAATCTTTCCCACCAGACTATGTAAGGCGGTCTCTGTAGATTTGCCTGATTGATAGGCAAATTGATTTTTGTGAAGCGGACTATTCGACAGAATTTTGCTTCTGATGTGTTGATCAAGTAGTTTCTCCATAGTTTTTGTATGTATAAAATATGTATATTGTTTATGTATTCCTATTTTAAACAACTATGTTTATTGGGGTAATAAGGACAATCAATCATTTTATAAATCCTACACTTTGTTTTCTACCATGAAATATACCAAGTGATATGAGCTAATAATAATAATTTTTGAAAGTGATAAAACCAAAATTAACAATGAAACTTTCAACAATTCGTCAACACACAACATTTGAGGTTGAGTAGATTCTTCCTGTTTCTTACATCTGATTTCATTCATTGTCGTTAAATTCCAGAATGCTGATTTTTATATCCCAAAATATAGCTTCTTTGTTAATTTGAAAATTAAAAATGCCATCAAATAACATTTATATACAGTGTGTCCTGATGGTTGGTGCAAACCTTTTGGGAACTGACGGACTACATTTTCTTAACAAAAGTATCTCGAGATTTTAAAATGTTTTTCGATATCAAATTTAAGGAAATTTTTTTTAAGCACAATAATTTCATTAAATAACAGAATACAGGGTATGTCACGACGAGCTTACACTATCTCTATATCGAAAATCATTCGGGAGAAATTCATGAAAATATGCATGCTTATATTTTAGAATAGGCTCTTTCCATTTAAAATATTTTCAGCAATGTAGTGTTGCCGCTTCTATGAAAAAGTTGTAACAACTTTGTTATTTCAAATAAAATACCCTGTATTTTATTGCATTTTCAGATTCCCTCTGAAGAGCTGATTTCATTGATACATCACACTTGGGGTTTATCAACTTTTAATTTACTGTTTACTGATATTTAATCGGAACAGATACAGGGTGATCAGAATTCTGAATCTGAAACCACCCTGTGCCTGATCCGATTAAATATCAGTAAATAGTGAATCTAAAGTTGAGATTGGGACATGTGAGCCGTTTTGACCGATAATGAATAGTATCGACTAGGGGTGGGCGATAATGATTTTGAAATATCGATTATCGATATTCATAATGTATCGATTAGGGATGCACCGGGTACCGGGTATTACCCGGTACCCGACCGGGTAAATGGTACCGGCCGGGTACTCGGTACCCGGCTTCGCTTTGGATACCCGGCCGGGTATTTTTTCCGGAATAAACGGTGGTCAAGACAAAAACTAAAAGGCTCGAGAACAGAAATATATTAATAACACAAATAACATTCTCACTAGAACCCAAAACAAAAAATCGTGATAAAACTAAAATTCAAAATTAAAGAGTGGTAAATTGTCATGAAGGAATATTAGTTGTTCTCCGTTTTCTGGAAAGGACTGTTTCTTGCCGACTCGAAGACATTTCCTGCTTCAGAAAATAAGCGTTCGCTCGGTATTGTGGATGCTGGTGCGGACAAAAAGGTCCTAGCTGTCAAAGCTAAATTTGGAAAATGTTCTCGGTTTATTTGCCACCATCCCAACGGAGAAGCCTTTCTATCAATAACATTCAAATTGAGATAAGCCTGAATTTCACTTTTAATTTTTCTGATTATGCATGGTTTTTATTGATGTTTCAAAGAATAACGTTCGTCGGCATTGTGGCTTAGTGCAATATAGATATTAGGAGTTAGATATGATGGAATATAGAAACTACACGACAGCTTCAATGCACTTATTTGGTTGATAATACCCGGCCGCCGGGTATCCGTTACCCGGCCTACCTTTAAAATCGGGTACCCGATACCCGGCTTTTTCAGAAAACAGTTCCCGGTGCATCCCTAGTATTGATATTATCGATGTTATCGATAATATCGATAATTTTTCTCCAAATTATCATCGATAATTATCGGTAATTATCGATATATCGATAATTTTTCCCACCCCTAGTCGTGACAAGGGTATTTTTATAAAACTAATTTTTTATATTTACTTTCTGGTTTCTAGGTAGGTATAATAAACAAAGCTATTTTGTCATTATGTTATTTTTCAAGAAATGAGCGATCGAATGATAAAATAAAAATATTCCATATAATTAGATAGCTCACCTTACTTGATACTTGTTACTCGTTCAACACATGACTAACCAAAAAGTTTGCCAGCACAACTAATAAGGGTTGCCACGTTGCCAGATGTCAGATAGCTTCAGGCAAGTTGCTGTGCTGGAGTCCTATGTTGTTTGAACAAGGCTAATGTACAGGGTGGCGTGTCTTATTATATTTTCATTCTTACCTCAATTCTTGCCAACAGGTATCTGGTTTATACAGGGTGTTCCATATAAAAAACAAAAATACCTATTTTTCTGATGCTCATTCATTTTGATAATTTTGATATTATCGGTTATATCGATAATTTCGATATCATCGATAATATTGATAATTTCGATAATATCGATAATATCGATAATATCGATAATTATTTCGATTATTTCAATTATATCGATAATATCGATAATTCCGATAATATCGATAATTCCGATGATATCGATAATTCCGATAATATCGATAATATCGATAATATCGATAAATCGATAATTTTTCTCCAAATTATTATCGATAATTATCGATAATTATTGATATATCGATAATTTTTCCCACCCCTAGTATCGACACAAAAAATCTTAAAGTTGAAAAATTTCGATTTTGAACACCCTATATCTCTGTAATCTTTTTCGATAGACCCACAAGTGTGATATCTATAGCTCTTCAGAGAGAATCTAAAAATGCAATAAAATACAGGGTGTTACATTTGAAATATCAATGTTGCTACTACTTTCTAGTAGAAGCAGCAACACTGCATTGTCGAAAATATTTTAAATGAAGAGAGCGTATTCTAAAATATAATCATGCATATTTGTATATGCTGTATACAATATACCATATAATACAATACGCTTCAAATTGATAAATGAACAATCATACAACATATTCCTCATATTATACAATACAACAGTTCAAACCATTTTTTATTATTTGTAATTCTAATCAGCTCCAAATCGGCTAGGTTGTCGTTAACGGAACAAGGGTTCATAATGGGCGGATTTGGGAATTGCAATATTCATTTAGTTTCGCTTTGAGTAATGAATAACTCTCTCTATTCTTTATTTACATAGGTAGACTATTATATTCTTTTATTTGAATTTGAAGAAATTGGGTTTTTCAATCCTACTGTAGTTCTAGCTTGTGGTAAGCAAATTTGGTTTTGTGTTCTTGTCTCATGAAGATGTATTTGGTTAACTAAGGTTAATGCGTTGTAACATTTGATTTGATCATTGTGATTATCGAACAAAAAAATCCTTATTCTGGAAAATGTTAGGATCTGATGTTGATTTTTGATAATTTGTGAAACTCAGAGGTTAAAATATTTGTTTCAGTTTGCCGATAAGTGAAAAACAACTGCCACCTGTCTTGAGAAGAAAAGCAGATGAAATAGAAGATAACAAACCTTCAAAACACCAAATGAAGAAAGAAAAAAAAGCGCAGAAGAAGAAGAACAAAATGTCAAAGAGTCAGAAAAATGTTTACTTTAATCAAATATCATTTGCTACCTCTAACTCCAATATCAAATCAGAAAGTGAATCTGATGCAGATGTTGAAGACAATTTAGAGGTTAGTAATCTCTTCAGTACATTGAAAAAAATTCAAAAGAAATTCAATGAAAAATTCCATATGCTAATTGAATTTCAATATTTGAGGGGCTGATTTTTGTGCCCATTTTGAAAAGGAAACTTCATATGAACCTCAACGTCTTAACTTTTGAGATACAGGGAGGTAAAGTTTTCAAAAATAAATAGTTTTTTTATTAATATCTTCAATACCACTTTAGATATTTTGATGACATTTGCTCTCTAAATTAAAATCATTCCTGAGATCCTCAATCAGTTCCAAGAAAATTTGGTCCCTAAATTTGTTCGATCCGATGGACGGTTTTTGCTTGAAAAAATAAAAAAAACTCCACTGCATGATTATAACAATATTGTCAATATGGCAATATCACTGATCACAGTTTTTGACACTACTAGTGATTGTTTATTGTTCTAAAATTGTTCTTATCCATCATTTGGTTGCCCCCCTTACAAGCAACCCTCAGAAGTATTCAAGAGACTTGTGCGAGCAAGGAATGATGGGGGTCTTACCTTTTAACGTGTGATCCCAAACACTTTCTTAGGCCATCAGAAAAATGTCTGTGGTCGTGGTGGGAATCAAACCCACCTACCGGCAATCCAACGTGGATTGAACATTGACGCTGTATACAGGCTGATTAGGATTATTCTGAAAAGTTGGTGCCTTGGATGATAAGTTGTGTTCTATCGACCTAAATTATTCTCAGTATTGCGTCGTTGCCGCTTATATTGAAAAGTAGCAACAACTTTGATTTTTTAAACGGGACACCCTGTGTATTATTCCATTTTCAGATTCTCCCTGAAGTTTTGCATTTTTCAACAGTATAATCTTTGTGAGGCAATCGGCATACATTTTCTGAAAGTTTAATATGTTTTACCAAATGGGATTGTTCTTAGGCTGTATACCTATAAATATTAAATGAATTTTCATTTCAGACCGATCTTTATTGTTGAGAAATGGTGAAAACCTTGATGTAGGTATTTAAACTACTGTACTCATATGTCGCCATGTGTGCTGTATATTTATATATTCATGTTGGGTATCATTTTTTGCAGTTATTTACAGGTATAATTTCTGAAATGGTAGGGCATATGCCCATTCTTTTAATCCTCCGTTTTAATCAAAACTAGTTCTACTAAAATGTATTCAAAAAATCGTGGAGTAGATGATTAGGCACAATGAGGATGTATATGTGATTTTGTATTAGTTTCACCTCGCATATTTTGCTGATGTATTTACCGATTTTCTCCATTCAATCTCTTCACTTTCCATGTTCTGAGTTCATTTGCATTTGTTGGATATCTGACAAATTCAAATTTGCCATCCAACTGATTGATACAGCCTAACGCAGCACATTATGCACAACATAATCAATCAATCAATCAACTTTATTATTCTCAAGAAACAACATTTGTTTATAGCAGGAAACATGGTGAATACATAAATATATTTGACAAAATAAAATAAAGAAGACAGTAAAATAAAACTCACACTCAAGAAGAAATCTTTTTTTCATGTTCAACTGAAAATGATTCTCAATTGACTCAGCTGTTAGTTACCCAATGGAAAACTATAGTAGTTGTACGAGAAAACTATAAAAATGAGATGTCAATATCACAGTAGTAGATGTTTCTTTGATTCCTTTTTGAATTTTTCACAAGTCAGTTGGTCGTAAATTGTATTGTTTCATTCCATTGTGATGGATGGATTTTTTACCAATATTTGATTTAATTTTCTCGACAGAAAAATGATCTGCTTGTCTAGTTGTATGGAAGTTCTCTTTTAACGCCCATGAATGTGACATGACAGCAATATGCAAAACCAAAGTCAGTATATCAAACTGACAAACGAGACAGTCGGTTCTGCTGTGTGGAAGGCGAACATATTAAGTTGATGTTTTTGTTTAGAGAGAATAATGTTTGATATATTTTGGTTTCGTCAATAGGCGAGCGGACAACTTTTTTTTTTCTCATATAGAATCATCAGTCAAATACATTTCAATTTCATATTTTTTTCAGAAGTTTTCGGTCGATTTTTAGGTGCTGAAATCATCGATAATGCCACGATACTTTTCAAACGGATAGAAATTTACCGCGAATAAAAAGTGACTTCACGATTTCGTAAGTTGGGGCAGTCCATAGCACAGTTGCCATATGTTGAATTACGATTTTCATAATGATTGAAGCAACGCGGTACATTTTATTATTTATTTATTAATATTATTTTTTGCGAATATGAGGAAGGAGAATATCCTTTCTGCACAAGACCTAATTCGGCCGAAATGAAACTTCTTCCGAAAAAGTATATTTTTCAGACAATTACTATTATAGAGAACAAAGGAGACTGCTTCTTCAAACAGTCTAACCTAACAAGGCCTAAGTGAATCTTCTTTCTATAAAGTATATTTTACGGAAAACTTCTTGAGATTTCTTGAATAAAAAAAAAACTTAATCTCGCGAGGACTGAACTCGAGCCCTTTAGTTGTGGCAGACGGACGCTTAGCTGACTGTGGCACGGCCTCACTTAAAAACGTTTCTATGACGAAACAACTGCCTATCGCCCACTGCCAGCAAACAGCGGCAGGCTAGTTACCATTCGTTAAGTCATAGACATAAACTGAAAATAAGTCGGTAACTTATTTTTTTTTTTTTTTTTATTTATTTAAGTAGGCAAGCCTAATATACCAAATATATATATATGAATTACAAGTCTATGGATATCTTACAACCTTGTTAAGTTACGTAAATATAAATATAAGCAACATATGGGAGTACATTTGAAGAAAATGAAAGTATACATATCAATAGATTGATAGATTGGATCATATCAATTAATCCGAAGGAAGAAAGAAGGAAAGAAGGAATACCAATAACTATCACAAGGAGCTGTCACTGATGAACTTCTTTAATGATGACTTGAATTGTCTAACTGAACTTGATTCTTTTACAAATTGAGGTAATTTATTGAATTTGTTTAAGCCTTTATGAAACATGCTATTCATCCCAAATTTAGTGTTAGTTTTTTTAATGTAAAAATTGTTATTACTTCTCGTATTGTAATCATGAACTTCATTATTTCTTACTAAGAACTTATGAAAGCAACAGGGTAGCAATCCTTTTTGCAGCTTAAATATAAAGATCATAGTCATAAATATTATACGTTCTTCAACTGAGAACCAGTTTAGACACTCTAGCATCAATTTAATTGCTGTGTAACGGCTACATCCCAATATCAACCTCATACCCCGATTTTGAAGCTTTTGCAATTGTGCTATTTTATTTTTGCCCAGTAGAAAAAGTAATGTTGCACAATAATCAAAATGAGGTTGAATTAAACTTTTAAAGAGAGTCAACCTAGCATACATAGACACTTTCTTACATATACGAGAGAAAAAGAAGAGTTTTTTAGATATTTTTTTACAAATATAATCAGCATGACTATTTAGTTTTAAGTTTTTGTCAATTATAAAACCCAAATACTTCATTTCAGTGACATTTTCAATGACAATGTTATTAATTTTTATGGCAGCATTTGCCCAGACAATTTGATCATATTTATAAGATGATGTCAAAATCATACTTTTTGTTTTACTGGTATTTAGTTTGAGTTTATTATTAAATTAATATGTATCAATGCTTTTTAATGACCTATTCATCTCAACAATTGCCTGATCCAAGTTTTCATGTACACAATAAACCAATGTATCATCAGCAAAAAGATTTATACAGTGTGATCCAGGAATGTGGTTAATATCGTTCAGATAAATAATAAATAGCAATGGACCTAACACACTACCCTGTGGTATGCCACTCTCTATTATAAGTTCATCTGACAATTCTTTACCAAATTTAGTTTTTTGTCTTCTGTTGAATAAGTAACTTTGAATCCAATCCAATACAGTCCCCGATATCCCATAATACTTCAATTTTTCAATTAGAATAGCTCTGTCAATTGTTTCAAATGCCCTTTTGAGGTCGAGAAACGTTGCAACAATGTACTGATTTCTATCAATAATATCTTTCCATTCACTTACTATAAATTGTAGAGACGTTTCACATGAGTGTCTAGCTCTAAACCCTGATTGGTTGCCTAGAAGCAATTCATTGGTATTAAAATACTGAATTAATTGGTTATATACAGATAGTTCAAAAACTTTTTCGAGGGTAGGTAATATATTTAATGGCCTAAAATTTTCAGCATTGATTGAATTGATTTTCGGTACAGGAACAACAGTAGAGACCTTAAATTGATCAGGAAACACGCCGGTTCTAAGTGATGTATTAATTACATTTAATATTGCATAACCAGCTACATCAAAACTATTTTTTAGGAAATTATTATTTAAAATTTCTGCTTTGTTAGTTTTGTCCAGAGAGAATATAATGATTCTTAGGTCATTGATTGTTATTATTACGTGTTCGGCTTCGCTCGGAAATCCGATTGTGGTTTTGTGTCGGTATCATATGAATATGCAACTGCTAGATCTCATAACTTAGAGACAGTACTGTTTCGACCCACCAGGTCTCATCATCCGCTCTCGCCCATTTCGAAGACGCAGGGTATAACATGAAGTTATAGTCATGTTGTAGTCAGCAGACCGAGAGCGGCTGATGAGACCTGGTAGGTCGAAACAGTACTGTCTCGCTCCTGCTGACAAATGGGGCAACTCTGTTCATCCTGGATCTCTTAGTTATGAGATCTAGCAGTTGAATAAGTGGTGGAAAAATCCACTCAAGTATGTCAGGTAGTGTCATCTGTCAGCAGAGTGGTTTACTTGTAGTACCACTCTGTAGCGTATAGACGTAAGGGTCTGTACGTGTGACTATAGATGGCAGCGCCATACAGTCTGTTTAATATTTCTTTGCGCGTACGTCACAACTTCAAAAAACGAATCAAATCAATTCAAGGTCATATGTTCCAGTGAACCAGTGCGGTGCTGTTTCAGAAATTGGGATAAAATAATTAATAAAATTGAAAAAAAAATTATCCACTACTCCAGGTAATTTTGAGTGAGAAACATTCAATTGAACATAGGATTGCTATATATGTATTTCAAGTTTCAACTCTTGAATTCGTCAACTTATTGAAGGCAAAAACATCAGAACTTTGGTATGTATACACCATATACCGATACCGATATACACACTTTTTGTACTTTGATCTTGCCATGATCTTATCTTATTCCCTTTCGCAAATATCCAAGTTTCATCTAAGATGAAGATTGTTATGGGTTGGTATATGACCCGATATACACACTTTTTGTACTTTGATCTTGCCATGATCTCATCTTATTCCCTTTCGCAAATATCCAAGTTTCATCTAAGATGAAGATTTGTCTAGGGTAACTAGAATTGTGATTTTCATAAAACTTTCTGAAAAACTCTGCTCTCATTATAGATATGTCCATCTTCTCAACCAATGACCGTCTGTTGTCTTCTTTTTTATATTTGAATCCTACATTTGTGAGAAGTTGGCTCAATGTTCATTGTTCCTATACTTGCGTCAAGAATATGTTCAGTTCTGGGTTCTTCTTTCAAAATTCTAAGATTGATGTTTTTCTGTAAGATAGTCAGTTGAAGGTAGTCAAGAAGTATCAAATGAAATCACTTACTTTCTGCATACATAGTATAGATCACATTGCGTACTTCCATTTTCAAATTATCATCCAGATCTACTGTCTTGGGTTTTTTCAGTCCTAGATTTCCCTGGCGTACTCAAACTTTCGTTTCTCTCAGAACTCGAAACTGTCCGCAGACTAATATTGAGGGCATCAGCGACACTCTAAAATTATGTACATCATGATGATATTCTTGAAATAAGGTATTATTGATCAGGAATAATTATGATTAAAGGACCATTAATATCTTTCTGTCTTATGAAATATTGTGACGAATTCGAACCAAGACTTCGTGCTTGCGAATTCAAACGTCTTCCTGGCATGTTGAATATTTGACAATGGCCACGCAAAACGGTGTAATTTCAGCATCTACTGCACGCCTCTGAATTAGCCGGTTCAAATGTGTCTCGACATACGGACACCTCTGTATTCAAGCTTTCAACCCGTTGAGTTCAAAAACGATGTCGTAACTTATGTCAACAAACGTCATGATAGACATTGCTGCTCTATATGCAAGTCTGAAGAGGATAGCAAGTTGCGCGTAGGTCTATGCTAATTTCAGTCACACGCAAAGAAATTTTGTACAGACTGTACAGTGTGTGTCGCGATCTCTGGATCCTACCTTAGAGCTTTGCCACTAGATGGCTACAACATGACTATAACTTCATGTTATATCCTTCATATGAATATACTTCCAGGACCCGTCAAACAGGACCCACCGCCAGCCGGACGTCCGCAAGGGCGGCACCGAGTCCGGCTACAACTCGGACAAGATCGACAACAGCAGCCCCGACTCGAACATCGGCGGCTCCGTGGCCGACAGCGGCGTGCCGAGCCCCGTCGTGACGGCTGACGACGGCGCCTCGAGACCCGACAGCCCGGAGCGCAGTCCCGCCTCCAGCGACACCAACTTGGAGTCGGGCAGCGGTTCGAGCGCAGCGGGCGGGAATAACAGCGGGAACGAAGAGTGAGTATTCGCTTCGGGGGTGGGGAATAATTGAAAGATCAAATGACTTACCTGAAGGGAATTTGATCATAATAGGCGAGTGGACTATTTTTTTCTTATTTGTCAAATAGAATCAAATACCTTTCAATTTCATATTTTTGAAGAATATTTCGGTCGATTTTTAGGTGCTGAAATCATCAATAATGCCACGGTAATTTTCAAACGGCTAGAAATTTACCACCAGTAAAAAATGACGCCACGAAATAACGATGGGAAACTTCAGAAATATTAGTTATTCAATAATTCATAAATTCTCAAATGAGTATTGGTAATATTCTCAATTGACAATAAAAAATCAAATGTCCCAAAATGTTCCCTTATGATTTGTGGTTCATTGCTTGTAATAAATTACCCCGCACGAAAACACGGGAAATTGGCTCTCGGTCGAATTGGCTGAAATTTTACTATGTTGTTGTTGGATGGCTCATTAGAAAAATATGTGAGTTTAAAAAGTTTTGTATGTTTAGTTTCTGAGATATAAGCCGACAAAGTTCGTAAACACGTCGTATATCAGGGTGAGATTGACGAAGAAAAAAACTGTTTTTTTAGTATAAATGAAACATATTAAGCTAAAAAATGTATTGATCGGAACTCATAAACATGTCTAGTTATAATCACATAAATTATAGTAGATCAGAGTGTATACGAGGCACGGTCAAAAAATTCATTTTTCGGAAAAAAATTCGAGCACTATTCCAACACCAACAAGTTATATTTTGGTGGGACATTATAGTTTTAGTCTATTGTAGGCTTCGAAAATGTACTTCGATTCTTGATAACTATCTCTGTTCGAAATATTATGAATTTATAGAATTTTGTGTTATACCCCTTTTTGAAAACAATTGACAGCTTGTTTTTGATCACAAAGAAAGGGATTGATTGATACTGTTGATTGAATGAAAGCTGAAGTAAGTTACTAGCGAATTCAGTTGTTCAATATTGCTTTTCATTTAGATACAGGGTGTGTTAGATTTTGTTGAAGATTATTCAACATGCTTCAATTGAATATCTCGAAAACAGTTCCGTCAAATTGGATCTCATTTTACTCACACTATTTTGAATATGTTGACTATCATATGCAAAAAAGTTTTTCAATTTTTAATGTTTCGTTTCTGAGATATCAATTTTTGAGTTTACAGTATAACAGGTATTATAGGGATGCATATCTCAGAAACGAAACATAAAAAATTGGAAAACTTTTTGCATATGATTGTCAACAAATTCAAAATAGTGTGAGTAAAATGAGATCCAAATTAACGGAACTGTTTTCGAGATATCCAATTGAAACATTTTAAATATTCTTCAACAAAATCGCTAGTGAGTTACCTCAGCTTTCATTCAATCAACAGTATCAATCAATCCCTTTTTTGTGATCAAAAACAAGCTGTCAATTGATTTCCAAAAGGGGTAGGTATAACACAAAATTCAAAGAGTTTATATTCCGAACAGAGATAGTTATCAACAGTGAATATACGTTTTCGAAGCCTACAATAGACTGAAACTATACTGTCTCACCAAAATATAACTTGTTGGTTTTGGAATAGTGCTCGAATTTTTTTTCCGAAAAATGAATTTTTTGACCGTGCCTCGTATACACCCTGATTCACCATAATTAATGTGATCATAACTAGATGTATTTGAGTCCCGATCAATACATTTTCTAGCTTATTTTGTCTTATTTATACTAAAAAATAGTTATTTTTGTATCTAGAGCGCGAAATACTACTTTGGTGATCGAGATCTGATTTTTTAACGAGGCGTAGCCGAGTTAAAAAAATAGTCGAGATGACCAAAGTATTTCGGGCTCGAGTTGCAAACAACATTTTTTCTACAAACGTCAAAAAATATAGTTCTGAAGTAAAAATATGCTCAGCTTGATATCGTAAATAGTGTTGAACTGGCTTGAAAAGGCCTCCCCCTATCCTCCCTAGGTACGCACGATGTTCCATGAACATAATAGGAATTTCCTTTCGTGAGCGCCAAGAAATAAAACAAAGTTATTGTTGAACATTCAGAAATAAATGATTTCGTAGATGTTTGTTCGATTGAGGACCATGAAGTTGAAATATAAACATCTCATATATTTTACATAACAATGCGCGAAGTAGGTACTTCGCGCACTGTTTTACTTCGCGCACTGCTTCGCACATTGTTATCAATACGCGAACCTTGTCATTTTTTGACGTTTGTAGAAAAAAGTGTTTTTCTTTGTCAATCCTACCCCGATACGACGTTTTTACGAACTCTGTCGGCTTATATCTCAGAAACTAAACATACAAAACTTTTAAAACTCACATAATTTTCTAATGAGACATCCCACAACAACATAGTAAAATTTCAGCCAATTCGACCGAGAGCCAATTTCCCGTGTTTTCGTGCGGGGTCCTTTGTGTGAATAATAATTATATTAATTCACACTAGAGGACATTTGAATCTGTGAACGTGACAACCCCGCGCACGACCTGTGGGCGTGGTCTTGTCAGTTCTCAACATTCAGCACAATGTTGCCAAGTCTTCAACATTCACATGATATTGTGTTATGAAGAAGTATTTGGACATGCTGGTTGCTCGAAAAAGTGAAGAATGAACTATAATGTCATGAGTTTCTCCTATTATGTTTCATTTAACGACAGGACTCTTACATCTTTTTGATAACTTGATCATAATTGGTGACTTGACAACCCCTTGCTAAATGTGTGAAAATGGAAGATTATCTGACCAATAACAAAACAGCATAAAAATGGACGTCACCATTTATTCGACGTACGTTTGAAATGAGCTCTGAAATTCAAGGATTTTGAACAACGCATAGTCTTATTATTTACTTAAAAGAGCGTGAGAAGTATTGCAAAAATTTATTCAGGTTCCTAACGACACAGTGAAGTAATTGAATGCCAATAGTTCATTATCAGTCCACTCGCCCATTATACGAGGGTTCTGTCGAAATTATTTCACCTGTAGTTATGCCTGAGTATATCGTCTTCATACCAAGTTGTAGTGTGCCAGAATAGATACTGGTAATATTATTATCATTGTAGTTCTAATGGACCTTATGTGTATGCAACCCACATTACATGACATGTGCATATGTGCCTGGTGTCTTAGTGACAAGAGTGTTGGTGACCTTGGGAGTTTAACGCGGGGTTTTTGCACATTGTTTTAGGGTGTTAGATAGAGAGGGTTTTTAGTAGTCGTCGATTGGCATTCGTCAACGATAGACGAGTCGATGTTTTTGTAAAGTTTTGCGTTTTGCCATTGTATACCGGCTGACTGTTGTAGTTTTTTGTTCATGTTCACATCGTATGTGACTTGGAATAAAGTGTTTCTGTATCTAATTCGATTGATGTATTACCTGAACCTACATAACGACCTGAGATATTGCTTCTCATACAAGAGTATCATCGCAAAGTTCAAAGAAATATACCTAAAAATAAGAGTAAAACCGGCAACCCTGTTTTCCTGTCACCTCCGTCAACCGCCGCAACCGCAGGCTGTCCAACTTCACTTGTTCAATGGAAAATACAACTAGATCGCTAAATGGGCGAGAAGTTCGTTAGATTCGAAACCTTGAGTGGTCTCAAGTTTCGAAAACTTCAAGAATTGACCAACGAATTCGGGAAGGTATGTAATAATTTCGACAGAACCCTCGTATAACTTTGATCAAATTTCCTTCAAGTAAGTCATTTGATCTTTCAATTATACTTCCGGGGTTCTGTCTTCATTATTACACCTGTAGATGTTGAAAGTATACCGATATAGTTGTAACAAAACTTTATGACTAATGTATTTTATTTCTACAAAATTTCACTTGTGAACAATGTGAACTTTTTTCTACCAATTTTGGTAGTAGGTATAAAAGAAACAAAAAACCAGCCATTCTTGGCCAACCATTATTATAACTAACTATTCTAGTTTGAACAAAACTTGAAGAATCAACATATACTATATCTAGTACTAATATTTTCAACTTATATTTGAACCTTTCAGTTCTCCTTTTGCAAATGCGTCTTTCATTGTTGCCAGAGGTTTATTGTAAAAAATGTTGAAGGTCTGCGAATTTTTTGTCCAACTGGCTCTTTTTCGGATTTCTTCCAGACTAACTCCTTCTCTGAGGGTTGCCGACGTAGATGCGTGTCTAGTGCTATGGCTACTATAAACCGTTGTGTCAATGCCGCTAGCTTCTAGCATTGTTTTTACCCAGCGGCTTATTGTCTGAGCTGAAGCATTGGTTTTCGAAATGTTAGGAAGGAGGTCATTTTTACCTCCAGATCTCAGATCTCTTGTCTTTTTAATGTATTCTTTTATTGTATATGCCAAACACAATCCTGGTTTGTCTATGAAAAAAGGTCGTATCAACAATGGTTGATGTGTGCTTCTCCTATTACTAGTCTTGACTTTGTTAGGAATGCATATTTCCAATCTATCTTCATATTCTTCGATGTTAGTAATTTCAATTTTCGCAAAAGTTTGCATCCTATGTCCTGATATCAGGGCCAATAAGGTTACTAATTTTAGAGAAGGTTCTTTCATAGATAATGATTCCAGGGTAGAAATTTTTTCAGACGGTGGTGACAGGAAAACAGGGTTGCTAGTTTTACTCTTGTTTTAAGGTATATTTCTTTGAACGTGGTATGAAGACGATATACTCAGGCATAACTACAGGTGTAATAATGAAGACAGAACCCGATGTATAACTGTTATTTTTCCAACAGTAGCTATAGAACCCACCACTATTTGTATATTCTTTTTTCCACCACTAATCTGAGAATTCACCATTATTCGAGGATTTTCTCTAATGAGAAGTATCACTTTTTAAACCTAGGTAAAATGATGAATTGATAAAGAAATTTCACCTAGGTAGAAAAAAAAAATGTCAATAGTGTCAATGATATTATGCAATATACACACAGATACCGATGCGTATGCAACCAACGAAAATGATACATTCTTAAAACCAAATA